CAACAACTGACTTTTAAAACAAAACCCTATTTAAAAATACAATTAAATTAAAATAATTACCACTTAAATTAAATTAATCAAACCATTTTATTAAATTAGATTAAATCAATTAAACAGTTAAATTAAATCAAATAAAGCATTTAATCCTAATTAAAAAAAATAACTAAATGCAATCAAAATACAACCATGAAAACAATTAAACTAAAACAAGGTATAAACATAAAACCCAATAAACTCATAATGAAATTTAAATAAATTTTCAATTAAAACAAACCAATTCATAATTAAATAAATAAAAATATAATTTAAACAATAAAATAAATTCCAAACCTATCCTTTTTAAATTAGGGGTATTACAACTGAAACTCACAGAGATTTACTGGAATCTTAATTTTTAAAGTGAGTTTAGTTCGGTAGACCGACTTGAACCATCGGTCGACCGAAATAGGCCATCGGTCGATCGAAATGGCCCTGAAAGCTGAAAATGGCTACTGGAATGTACTCTTTACTGTGCAATAATGTTACCAAAGACTATCGGTCGACCGAAATAGAGTTTTGGTCGATTGAAACACCTCGAAATGCTGCTATATGACCTGCTATATGCCAAAGGTGTTAAGGTTCAACCCCTACCTCAATAGATAATTGAATCTCTATAATCCAAGTTACCAAGCTCAAAATAGAAAACAAGTTTAGGGTTAATGAAGAGGAGAGTGAGGGGAAACTTTTGTATTCCAAAGTTCCAAGTCTAGGGTGAATGAAAGGAAGCAAAAAATGAAGTCAAAGTTATTAACCAAGCTTTTCTTCAATGGTGGTTAGGTTAAGGTTCTTAGAAAATAAGTGAAAATGAAGAGGATAAAATGAAAATGGTGAGTGGAGGATCTAGTATTCCTCCACTCACTATGTGGTCTTATACTACCTCACACACACACACAATGCAAGACTTAATTGTGATCCTATACTTGTCACAAATCCAAGGCCCCTTCCTAGGTTTAATCCTAAGCTTACACTTGTCAACCATCTAGGCCAACAAGTGCTCCAATCCTAGGCCAACAAGTGGGTGAATCTCCACCCTCCAAATGTCAATAGATCATGCTCTCAAGTCACTCTACTCCAGTGACAACAAGTAACTCCATGAGAATGTGACACTTGTCACATTTTTCAAAAATTCCAAAAAGGTCCTTTTTGAAAATATCTTCCAAAATAAATTACAAAATGGTCCCCAAGACGAAAAATAATTACTTTATGTAATTACACAAAAATCCCAAAAATAAAGAATAATTACAATAAAGTATGCATCCATGCCCTTTATAAAAAAGTAAGTAACTAGAATGTATTTTCTACAAAAGTAAAAATACAAATGTCATGGAAATCAAATATCATGAATGCATGAAATGATAAATGGAAAAAAGACGAAATAGGGAAAAGACAAAACAAGAAAAAGATGAAAAAAGAAAATCGCCGAAAAAGGAAAAAGGAGGAAAAAGACCGGGTCGTTACAGACGTTCAAAAGGTCATGGGAAACAACTGGTAAAGTAAAACGTAAATTGAAGAATAATGGTATCTAAAACAAAAGAGAGCTCTCGACTTCATTGACTAAAATGACGGCCATAAACTGGGAACAAAATGCAGTAGAGATAACACGGATGATGATCTCTGGTTCTTTAAGCTTTGAGTTGTCCATAGACCTTGTGTAATACCCTTAATTCAAAATAGATAGTCTCGGTATTTCTGTTACGGTTTTATTGTAATTTTAAATTCTTTATGTGTTTATTTGGTTTTTTGTTTAATTGGTTAATTGTTAAATTGATTTATTTGTTTTAATTGGAATTAAATGCTTATGCGGCAGTGTATTAATTGTGTAAATTGTTTTATTTGTTTAATTAAATTATAGGTTTAAAATTGTTATATTCGTTTAAATTAAGTGTTAAATTAAATGTTTTTATTTAAGGTTTTATATATATGAAATTGCCGACTTTATTTTATTTTATTTTTGTTCTTTTTCTTTTCCGTCTCCTCACAAGATTAGAATTAGGGTAAAATTAATTGGCCTATAAATATACTTGTTTATGTCTGTCGAGGGTTTTAGAACCCTATTCACCAAACATAGTGGCGGAGAGATACAAAGAGGTCTGAGAGAAAACAGAGAGAGGAAAACTAGGGTTTGGCTAAGACTAAGGCTGAATCAAGGAGAGAAGGAAGGCGTGTTGTTCGTGGGTGGAACCAAGGGCAACAGAGGAGTGGAGAACAGTAGGAATTGCCGAAAAAGTTTAGGAAAACGATAGTACAAGGTTTCAAACTGAGACCTAAAGGTAAGTTTTATATCTAACTTTCTCCCTTTGACTCGTGTTCTTTACATGCCTAATTCAATTCCAAGAGTAATTAAACTTTAAACTAATCTGTTATACATGTTGAATTAGAGTAAAGCGGTATGAATATTAACGAATTGTTAATCGTTTGACTTTAAGTTTTTCTGCATGAATTCTTGCTTTGATTGGTTTAAACAAGTGCATAATGGTTTTAAATAAGTGCTGGAATACTCTGGGACCTAGTTCAGACACCTAGAAACCCTAGCGATGGAGGACAGATGAGGTGGAAGTCGCTGGAGAAGATGAGGTGGATGAAAACAAAAGGAGAGTCGGCTCCTTTTTGAAGGAAGACGGCTCCCCTCTCAAAGAGACAGCTACCCACAAGGGGGAGTCGGCTCTACTGGGCAAGGAGGTGGCTCCCCTAGTGGGGGAGGCGGCTCTACTCAAGGGGAATGCGGCTCCTTCATTTTTTGTTGATTTTCGGCGAAGTTTTGACTACTGGGATGGGTTTTTGAGGTTCCAGGTTTAATTTGGGAGCTGTCATGGCTTAAATGATGTCTATGGTTGTATGAAAACTCCAGAGGGCAAGTTATGCATCATGAACCACATAGTGCTGGGAGCTTAGATGGTATGTAATTCTTAAATAAATTGCATATTGTTGTTGGATTTGGATGTTGTAAATTGCTTATCTTTATTTTAGCAATTTCCTGTGAATGGTTATACAACTTAATCATATATTAGTGATATCAAATAAGTATGTTAATTTATGTATTATTATTATGCTTATCATGGATTAAAGGATTGTTACACCTTTTTTCTGCATTATAAATTGTTGGATAATTATGAATCAGTGGTATAAGACAAGCATGCTAATTTACATATTCTTATTATGCTTGTTATGGATTAGTTGATATTTACTTTTATTATCTGTATTATCAACTACTGGATTTATGGATTTTATGCACCGAAATGGGACGGTGGCATACTAGGGATAGATTAGCTCAAAACGCTAAATCCTACCTACTTTGGAATAAGGGAATGGATTAATTATAGTACTAAATCCTATTTATATATGTCGTGTCAAGGCAACGAACAGTTGAGCGGCACTACTTTGGTTTGGATGGATTTAAATATAAAATTATGTTACCTCGATATGAGCTTGAGTCTCAGGATCGACGGTTAGGGAGCGTGTATGCAATGGGATGCATAACTGGTTATGACGGTTGTGGTGTACCCTCTTAGGTCTAGGTACTCATGTACACCTCATGTGCGTTTTGCATGATGCCTACTAGTTAGGTTGAAACCGCCTAGTAGTACAGTGAGAGTCCCTTAGTGTGGATATATATATTTATGGATTATGTAGTTATTGTTGAGTTGTTTAGGATGTACATGTGTATCAGGTCTCTGTTTGAATTGTAGTAGAGTAGAATTTGCTCGTGGGCCTGACCCACTCTTATTTTTCAGGTGTTCATCAGTTCCAGGCTTAGAACTTGTTCGTGCTGAGCAGAGACAGTCATTCACTCCTCCGACTACATAAGATTTCCTTTCATATTTTAGCTTTGGATTTTATTTCCGTTCTTTAATTTCTATTGGGATTTTATTAGGGGCGCACTAGATGGATTCCCGAGTTGTACTTATATTGGAGGTTTTGGAAAGTTTGGATTATATTAGTTTTATAACTTTTGAGGATTTATTATTTAGAATTCTTTCAACGTATTTAATTATTTATTTCTTAAATCTTTTGTACTCATACTTGTTAAATATTAATTGTCTGGTATCTCTCGGATCCGTGCTCGGACTTGATCACCCGTGGCTCTAGAAACGAGGGGTATCACACCTTGGCCTTTTCTTATGTTGTTTGGAAATGCCCATGGCCAAACTTAGATGATGTATCAAAAAATTTGAGTTGATACATCATCCAAGTTCTATGGACTACTCAAAGCTTAAAAAATCCTAATTGAGAAAAGAAAAAGGAAAAAAAAACCCTAATTGATTTGGGGAATAAGTAAAGAAAAGAAAAACCCTAATGGAAAGAGAAAAAATTCCCTAATTGAGAGACAGAAAAACCTAAAAACAAAATACAAAGATAAATAAGGGTTAGAGGACTTACAGTTTCGCAGAAGAACACGAACTGATCTTATTTTCTGAATCGATAAGAACAGACCGCTCAGTTTCTGAATCGAAGAAGGGTTTCTGGTCTCTTTCTCTCAAGAACGCGAGGCGATGGAGGTAGATGATGGACGATGGTGGCTAGGGTTTCTAGTCTCTTCTCTCAAGAACGCAAGGCGATGGAGGCAGATAATGGACGATGGGTTACGGTTTGTGAAATGATGGAATGTGGTGTAATGTAAATGGGTGTGCAAAACGATGATGTTTGTTGGTTGTCTTTTTTAGTTTTTTTACAAAAAAAATTGTATTTTTATATATTTTATAAAATTGTTGACTAAGGGTAGTTTAGTCAAGTTTGGCTTTAAATATGCCACAGGGACATAATTGCACCAAATTGAAACTTGAGGGGTGTTATTTGCACGCGATAAGTGTGATATGCACCGTAAGCATACTTGAGAGGTGTTTTTTGCACGCGACCCAATAATTATATGACTGTTTGAGAAACATGTTATGTATACATATTTTTTTTTTTCGCTTCTAAAAAAAAAAAATACATATTTTAATTTTTGTTAACTTGTTTTAAAGTGAGATTATTTTGCGTTTTAATTTTATTTTAATTTCAGTGAAAAGGTAAATTTAAATTGTATTTATATATTTTATAATGTATTATATAAAGTAAAATGCATAGAGCAGTATTGGTGTATATGGTAAAAGAAAAGTAATTTTTTTTTTTTTTGACTTACTTGACGTTTAACTTGGTGATGACAAGACTATATTTAGGAGTGAGGTTAATATGGTCATTGGAACTCGGCAGTGAGAGAGCAACAAAATTTTTTTTCCATCAAAATGGTGGTTAATTCTTAAGAAATCATAATTAATGGCTCATCCTCATTTAATAACAAATCTAAAGAATAAAATTGAATTAATAACAATCGAAAAATGAATCATGAAAGCAGTCTACTAGTTCCCTAATAGTCGAATCTCATTAACAGCACAAATCAAATATAAAAAAGAAAAAGAAAAAGAATCCCACAATAAGATATGAAATAAATGTACTAGTTACCCTTAGTCAGCTAAGTCTAAAAACAATGAGAAGATAATAAAGAACAACCAATTAATATTGCACCAGAATTACGCGAAAAGCGTCCCAAAGAAGGACATGGTGAAGAGCACAAAAGTTGCAGTAGACATTGCACTAGCCATTTCAGTTGTACCACTATTATGCTCCGTCGTCTGGTTTGCTGATTGAGGTGGGCTTTCGGGATCCAAAACCTTGATGATCATCTTCATCCCTCGTTCGCAGTGTCCGGAGACCCCACTGATGAAGTAGAACAGGCCTGGTCTGTCCAATATGAAGGCGGTTTGGCCATTGTTGGAGAAGAACATAGGGTGTACAGAGTGACACTTATCGTATTCTTTATCAGTCACCACCAAAACCGAGTCCTTCTTGTATGCAAAATCTATATATATATATATATACCCCCATGGATAACGTATTAGAAAAACTCATAAATAACACGGAGTATGTGTATATATTTACTCGCACCAACTAAGAATAACAAAAGGATCTCATAAATTAGTGATCGTAAAGTTTTGCTAGATTCATTAATATATCAACTGTAATTTATGAGTGTGTTTGTGTACACCCTAAGGATGGATTCTGAAACATTTAGGGTTTGTTTGGTTTGTTATAACTATATAAGAATGTTTTATGAAAAAAGTTGTTCTTTCAAAAAATTGAGCCAAACAAAGATTTTGTACAGATATCTAATTCTCAATTTTCGGCTTTTTGAGTAACAAACTAAGCAAATCCCTATAAACTTTTAGGTACTAGATTCGACAACATTTCAACTATAGGGTACGCAAGTATTTAAATTTTCATTTTTAATGTTTTTCAGCGACATTTAAGTTATGATTGGGAGCACATTTTCAATTTAAAATCGAAGAAAATTTAGTTCAGAAATCCGGTACTCCCAAACATAATATTAGAAAAGTTCGACGTTATAAAGAGATCGAGATTCAAGAAGAAATAGTACTTACGGAGAGTGTCATTGACATTAAAGCGGTTTTTGGAGGCCCATTCATTGTAAAGCTGTTCATCTTTGGATGGAGGAACAACCCAGCCTTCTTCACCACCAACGTGGAAATCAGCTGTTGAATGTACTGTGAGGAAGAATAGGGAAGAAAGGAAGGTTATTATTAGGAGGAGAAGAGCTTTGCAGGAGGCCATGATGAGAGAGAGAGAAACCAGTGTCAATGAAACCTAGAGAGAGAGAGCTCTTGCTTTGGTATTAAGTTGGACTTAAAAAGGAGCCGAGTTTGAAGTTGGTTATGGCCGGGAGAGAGAGAGAGTGTGTGAGAGTTATCAGGAGAGATACACGGAGAATGTGGGATGGTTGGCGGCAACGGCTCAGGAAGGGCCATCTTTGACTTGGTAATATTACCGTTTTACCAAATGAAAGTCAACCAAGAGGATCGGATATGATTTTCAAAGAAGTGAATCAAAAAGCCGTGTCATCCAAAAAAAAAAAAAAACCTCATTCATATCAAGGGGAGAAAAAAAGAAAAATTAATAATTTTCTTTTCTTTTTTTTTTTTTTTTATAAAAAAAAAGGAAAAGAAAGAAAAATTCTATGAATTTTTAATAAAACCAGCAAATCCTGCTTTTGGGAAAAAAAATTCCAATTTACGTATTAAACCGCTTAAATTTTCGTTTATAGCCTTAGGAAATCATATTTGAATTTTGCAAATTATAATTACTATAAAAAAAATTGAGATCTAATCCATTTTTATTTGGCTATTTAAACATGTGTAAAGTTTTTTCTATTAGCAACTAGATTTTTTAATTTTATATATTTTATTTTCAAGATGTATTACTCTATTTATAAAAAATATAAAAATTTATTCAAAATTTTTTTGAATAAGAAAAAATGATAATATTTTATTAACTTTTTAAATAAAATTTTTAGTTTTTATTTTTATTTATTTTTATATTAAAAACGATTGTGGAATATTCTACAAATGATTTTGGAATTGAACTTCCATAAACTTAATTATAATTTAAATTTGTTATATAGTATTTATTAAAAAATAAAACTTAAAAGAACATAAAAAATGATTATATAACAGTTTTCAAATAAAAGTTCTAATTGAAAAACTTTTCTATAATACTCCAGAAGTGATGTGCCCCTGGGGCCTATTAGCTGTTGGATTGATCATTCATTGCGTCAATCTCACTACCACATCCAATGGGCCAAAATCTCAGGAATACAATCTTAGGGTATTATAAACTTTCACTGAAAATTTGTAGATACATTTTTAGAACTTAAATAGAAAAATATTTCTAGAAAAAAATAAATAAAACAAAGCCTTACTAAAAATATTTAGGACTTATTTGTCATTTTCAAAAAACCGAAAAAAATAAAGAGAAAAAAGAAAGGCCATGGACTTGGGTTAGACCCTTGAATTGGATTCCTAGCATTTTGTTAGGCCAAAAACAGAGCCAAGGCCCAAGTAAATATATGCTATGTTCGGTAAGAAGGAAAGAAAAGGGTGGAAGGAAAATAGAAAAAAGGAACAAATTTCTTTAGTTCGATAGAGATGATATAAGGAAAGAAAGGATAAGAGGAAGGATGAATCCTCCTTTATAAATTTTTATTTGCCCAAAAATGGACAAAAGATAGGAGAGAAGATAAGTGAATCTATTATAGAATTTTTAAATTATTACATCACCCTTAATAAATATTTAATAAATCCCATAAATAAAATAGTGATGTGTTTAAGGATAAAAAAAACTTAAAATTTTATATTTCTTTTTATACCAAATTAAATTGTCAGCTTTTTTCATTCTCTTCCATCTAACCAACCAACCAACCAAATAAAAATAAAAAAATACTTAATTTCTTACCTAGACGTTACAGTCATCCCATTTTTTCTCTCTTTCATTCAATTTTTTTCCTTCATACCGAACGGGCTTACCGGGCCGAATAACTGGATATCGAGTTGTGGGTGTTTAGGACTCTCTCACAGGCCCAGCGATCGACTTATAGGGTGGGACAACCATAATTTTTCTATTCCTATTTCTGTTTCAAATCCTCTCTCTCTACACTCTGCGCACGAAGCAATCTCCAACTCGAAACCAAATCGAATACTCAAAGAGTCACTCTCTTGCGATTTTCAGTGAAATTACGAAGCTCAAATCGTTTATCTTCTGATTACTTGCAGATTTTAATTTTTTAAAAAAAGGAAAAAAAGAAAAGAAAAAAAAAATGAGCGTCGAACCATTCAACAGGTAAAACAAATTGTGATTTGTCTATTAAATCTTCCTCGATTTGTTCTTTTTCTAGGAATTCAAAACCCTACTGATTTTGGTCTATTGATCTGATTTTGTGTTGTTTTTGGCAATGAAAACGGATAGGTTGGTAAAACTTGCGGCGAGGGCGTTCTACGATGACATCACAACAAAAGGGGATAATCAACCCAAAACTGGGAGGAGTGATAATAGGGGAATTGCTGTTGTTGTACTTGATGCCCTCACAAGGTTCTTTTCATCATAATACATCCCAATTTTTGCCTTAATACTTCTAAACTGCATAATTCCATGTATATAGTTGTCTTTGAATGAGGTGTGAATCTGGGTATTTAGATTTAGAAACAAGTTTTGTTCAGTGTTTTTATGTGCTATACTATATGACACTGCTGAAATTTGGAAGAAGTGATTTCAATCAGCAGACTTTGTTTATGCTTTTGTGTTTTAGTGGTAAAACTAAAACGAAGCAGGTGAACTCTGGAATGAGGGTTTTTTGACTTTATGTACGTGGTTACTGAAAATTTCGGAAAGCTAATTTTTGGGGTTTTTGAGGGTGGGGTCATTTCTTTTCTTTTTTGTTTGTGACCCTAAAGAAGTAAAGAAATGGTGATTTGATGTATGATTTTGGAGCATGAGCACTGGATATATACTGCAGTATTATTGGAAAATGTGCTTTTATGGAGTAATGTACCAAAATTTGATCATGTGGTATCCTCTATACTGTGCTACCTAGCCGATTAACTGAAAGTGAAAGTCCATACGTATTTTTGTGTTGTTTTTCCTTCTGTAATTTATAGAATAAGTTAATACAAGGATGCAAAAAAGAAAATTTGTGGAAGGAATTTATAAGATTTGCTTTATAATGTTGAAAGGATATTCTTGACAGAACTAAACCAACTTGTTTCTCACCTAATGCAATTGAAATGTATATTCATGTTGATGGAGCAATATGAAGACCCATTTAGAACTTAGTAGAGATTTAGTAGTAGAGGCTTTATATGGTATGAAACTATTATTTGGGTACAGTAGACATAGTGTGACTGCATCTTATAATTTGCATAATTCACATAGATGTGTTAACAAAGCAGCCCAGATGACTGTCATCAAATTCTTTGGCCAAAAATTCAAGCGATCATACCCAAAAAGTCAAAGTTAAAAAAATGTTTAAGTGAAGTATCTGTGCAAATACATTTAAAGAATTAGTATAAGCTGAAAATCATGAACAATGAAAAGAGGTCTGCAACTTGTGTGTTTTTATTCCAGATCGAGTGAAGCTTAGTACATTTGATAATTTGTTTTTATCTAAATCTATAATTTTAGAGAAAAAATTTTCCTCGAAATTTAGATAAATTCAAGAACCCTACTTCAGGAAATATTTTCTTGTAAATTGTGTACACTTTATATGGAGAAACTGACAAAGGAGTATGGAAATATTTTCTTATTCTTTTTTTTTGTTTTTTTTATTTTTTTATATATACTTTTCATTTCTCTAATCCAGTAGCGAGCCAAACAAAGAGTTCAGATTCCCAAGTTTGATGGTTAAAATATAAACGCACCTTGGTTTTTACTCCCTTATTATTATTATTATTATGTTTTGATGAGTACACCTTAGTCTTCTTACATCATTGTTAACTTTAATAAACAATTTTACATTTAATGCTTAAAGGTTTTAATTGTTACCAAAAGCATTTCAACCATGTGCTATTCATAGGAAGTGGCATGGAGGGGAGATTGAAAGGTGGACCTTGGGGAAATTGTTTTGATGGGCGACTTTAGATGGAGATAGAAGTCTAGAGAATCTTAGCTCAAGGGAGGGGATAAAGCACTAAGATCTTCCCCAAGTTAACAATTTTTTCTGGGAGGGTCAATCATGTTGGGATGGTTATTGTGATGGTTTATATATACATAGAGACGAAGACATCAAGACTGTCATTGTCCACTTATATGTTGAGCTATATTTAGAAATTTTATAGTGGTGGTTTAGGCTTGATTGTGGAGTTTAGCAAGGTTGCGGGAAGGGATAAGGAGTGGTTGGGGAATCTATTTCCGAGGAAGTAAAGTTAGCTTTGAGAGCTGCAACTTGATAAGACGAATGGTCAGAATGGTATGTTGATGGCTTTTCTCCATGCAGTCTTGAGGATGGTGAGACCAGTTGAGACAACTCTGATGAATCATTTGCATGCTTCTGAGGAGTTTGAGAGGACCTTTAATGCTTCTTTTGTTTTGTTCTCATGAAGAGATGGAAGTGGAGTTGAAGGATTTTAGACCTGTAGCTTGGTGGGAAGCGAGTCGATGATAATTGAGGTTAAGGAAGCTGATATATTGTGTCATTACAGAACCCCTTAAGCCTTTTGAGGGTGGTTGGTAATTTTTGGATGCAATGCTTGTAAGCAATAAGTTTATAAACTCTTAAATTTTTCAACAACAAGCTAGTTGTTATCTGTAATCTGGAAATTGAGATGGCGTATGACCACATTTATTGGCGTTTACTATTGTGTATTATTGAGAGGATGAGTTTTTAACATAAGTAAAGAATGTGGATTGAATTTTTAAATTGAGATTCTTCAATTTGATCAATGGAACAACATTGGGTTTCTTTTGCAACTCGAGAGGCCTCAGTAAGTGGGATCTGCTTCTCTTAGTGTTCATTCCAGTTATGGAGGGATTTAGCATGATGACAGCGAGGGCATTAGAGGGAATTATGTTGAGGAGGCTTGATATACCTAAAAACCCAGCTATACTTTACGAGACTTATTCAGCACTGAAATGTATTCTCCGAGTGAATGGTAACTTCTGGATCAGTGTGTGGTTTTTATGGTATTGGTCAATGCTTCAAACCATGGATAGAAGTAAAAAACATGCACCTGTGTATGACCTTGTGTTTTAAAACTCTTTATTTTTTATTTTTTATTTTTTTTTCGAAGTGCAAAAAAAACTAAAATTGTTTATATTATATTTTTCGATGTAGATTTTTTTTTTTAGTGTAATTTGTTAAGGGGAGTTTAGTTGGAGTTTAAGTTCTTTTTATTGTGTTTTAAATATATATAAATAAATATCTATATTTATTTTCTTCTATTTTAGGCGTCAGTGGGTCAGAGAAGAAGATTTAGCAAAGGATTTGAAGCTGCACTCAAAGCAACTTCGTAGGACTTTGCGATTTTTTGAAGAAGAAAAGCTAGTCACCCGAGATCATAGGAAAGAGGTAAGTGTTTTCTTTGGTCATTTTTATGCTGTGGTGCTTATTACTGTTGCTTTTGAGTAGTTTTGCTCATCAACTGTTGCAACATATTCTAATCCTGTTACTTTAAGTGGTTGAAGAACTAACGTAACCATCTTTGTAGAATTTTAAGTAATCGTTGTTATTGATACACCAAAAGTCATGTAGTACTTGCATTTACTACTAATTTACACGTGATATTCATATCTTGCAACGGTTTGGTAATTCTATATTAGAATTTTAGTGCAATGAGGTTCAATCTCATCGGAGAATCAAGTTTCAAGTCCTCACGTGCAATGAGGTTCAATCTCATTGGAGACCCGAGTTTCAAGTCCTCACTTTTTGCAGTTCGTTGTTAGACCTATTGGTTCCTTGTAGCTTGTTTTTTGGGTTAGACACAACCACATTCTTTCCTTTGTGTGGATTCTTCACAACTGTTCCGATAAAGGTTTTCAGTTTGGATTCCACACAGTGCCCCAGAAAATAAACCTTTTGCTGGAAGCAGTCAACTTTAGAATAACAAGCTGCTGTTCTCCCTCTAATGTCTGCAAAATATATGCGTAAAAGAGTTGGCTCAGGTTGATAGATAAATTTCTTGGATGTTTTTGACCAGTTGTGAACGTAGTAAAGTGGAGGAATTTGTTCATGTAAATTTCTATTTCCTTTTTTTTTGGCTAGATGTATACGACCTCTGAATATGATTCATTCTTGATAATCTAATTTATTTTGTGACTGAAGTGCTCTAACCCCCCTAGATGGGTCAAATATGCTCTTGCAATCTGTTTGATACATAGGATCAATTGTACAAAAAGATGGAGAGATTGATGATGGTTTAAGTATAATTGGAATAGGTGGAGAGATTAATTTTGTTATGTAATTAAATGTGCTATATACATATACAGACAAATAATAATAATGCTTTGGAGGTGTTCCATTTTTCTGCTTCATAAAAAAGAAACAAAACGACACTAATATGTTGCCAAAATTATAATATTGAGGTGGATGATGAGGAGTAACAGAGAGAGACATGAGTAGTAATCAAAATGTTAGATGGCATGGACATATACAATGTATGCTAGAGACTGCATCAAGAAAAAGAACAATATTTGCTAGAGTAAAAGGTCAGAGGCAAAGGGGCAGATTGAAACTAACATGGAATGGAGTATATAAGAGAAGACCTTAAGAAACTGGATATGATTGGAGAGATAGCTTACAATAGAAAATAATGGAGAAAGAGAATTCATGTGGCCAACCCCATTTGAATATGACCAAGGCAAGGATGATGATGATGATGCGTTCTCACTTATACCCCTTTTTTGGTTATCCCTGCTGTTCTGTGCAACTTGCGTGTTATCCTTCTTGGTGATCTTTTCCTACTATGATGCTAACCTTTTGCAGAGGAAACTGTCCGACATTAGGCTTTGTTGGATTCTCCAAAACAATGAAAGAAAAGAAATGGAAAAGAAGAAAAGAAGGATTTAGCTTATGAAAACTCTTCGAATATCCTCACTTTTTAATTAAAAAAATTGGATTTCTTTAAAGGAACAAAAAAATCTCCTTTTTTCCTTCAGATTTTCTTTTCTTCTACTCTGTAAGTAGCCCATCATATCCTCTTCTCTTCACAGTTTTCCATCGCAACTAAAAAAGGTAAAATCCCTATACTTTCTTGTCCTTTTCCTAGCGGTTTACAAGTTCCAGATAGAACCATAAAGGTTTTGTTGAGACTTTATGCTGCCTTTGTCCTTTGGTTCTAATTTTGACTATTGTTGTTGTATAATCTTTCTGTATATATGTTACGTTCAATTTAGGAATTTTTTTCTTGTATTCTCATTTTCTTCTTTCTTATGGATTCTTTAATTCTATATTATAAAAGGTTCACCTAGCATATTTAGAGGTTTGTGAAATTGCTTGTGGCTGAGGTTTATCAGAGACAAATTGTTTTCTAACATTTCATTCTCCCGTTCAAGTAGAAAGAAGAAACAATGAATCTTCTTATTTGTATATGTATCCCCTTACTATAACTTAGTTAAATTCTGTGTTTTAATGTGACTTTTCTCTATTGTGTATGATGGTTGTTTGATGGTTCGTTTTATTAAGGGTCACTTGGTAATTTAATGATGATATGCATGGTTAAAATCTTCATTTTCTTTGTTGTCAGTTTGTGGTATACATTAGAAAGTTCACCTAATTGTGGAAAACGCTCTCCTCTTTTATTCATTCTATCATTCATTCATCATTAATTTTTTACAGACCGCAAAAGGGGCAAAAATTTATAGTGCTGCAGTTGCTGCCACAGCTGATGGTCATCCGACTGGGAGAGAGGGGGAAGAAAAGATCAAGCTGCACACTCATTCTTACTGTTGCTTAGATTATGCACAGGTTCCTCCTTGTATATCCATAAGTCACGTTTAATTCACTTTCTATTACTTACTCTATGCCTTTTCGTTATTTGATTCTTGAGATTCATTTTGCTTTATTATATTTTAGGTTGAAAAGAGAAATAATTTTTTAATGGTCGCCTATAGAATTTATACTTTACTTTTGGTGTGTGTCTGTGCTGTTTGTGTTTATATATATGTTGGCAAGAGCTATATATTAACTTTGTGTGTAGTATACTTTGTGTGTGTGTGTGTGTATGTAACTATGGTTGTATCTTGATTTTGTTCTAAGAGATTTATGTATGGCTGTATGGTTAGTGATATGATGGGATATAGAAGGCAAAATAAGCCCTAGACTATGCTTTCTTTTCTCTTGAGCATCCTCCTGTTCATCAGATTTTTAATATGTCCAGGCTCTTGTAAATGTGGAAGACCTAAAGTAAAATGTATGTTGCAGATATATGACGTTGTGAGGTACAGACTTCACCGTATGAGGAAAAAGCTAAAAGATGAACTGGAAAACAAGAACACAGTTCAGGAGTATATATGCCCCGGCTGTGGGAAAAGGTTTCTGCTGTTGCTTGTGATGCTGTTAGTTCTATATATCATTAGGTGAAAGTTTGAGGTTTTTCTGATTTTGGATGTCCAGATATACTGCTTTGGATGCACTACGACTAATTTCCCCAGATGATGAATATTTTCATTGTGAAAGTTGCAATGGAGAACTTGTGGCAGAGAGTGACAAGTTAGCTGCTCAAGAAATGGGAGATGGAGATGACAATGCAAGGAGGCGGAGGCGTGAAAAGCTCAAGGACATGCTTCAAAATATGGAGGTTGGTTTCTTTAAATATCATACATTTCTTTTTGGCAATGGTATGATTTATTTGTCTTGGTTGTCAAAATGTTGAGAATTTAGGTAAGAAACTGCCAACATTAATACCTTTTGGATGCTTTAATTATTCAATTTATCAGGATTGTTCTAGTGCTTTTATTGGGGATCATTTTTGTTCAATAGTTTTGGTAGATCATATTATGGCCATCTTATGATAAATTAGATATACACATCAAATATTAACATTTTATTACATGTACAGTAGAACTGAGGGTCGAGACTGAGGTGAGTTGGTTGCATGCCACTTTTAACTCATGTCCACCCTGAACTGAGATTGGGTTGAATTGTTGCCTAATCCATCCTGAGTGGTGAAGAAACTGTCCCAGCCTGCCTAAGGGTCAACCCGGGTTTGTGTTCAGCTTGAACAAGTTCTGGTCCTTGTAGAAGCTGAATTTTCATAAACAGTAAAGTTATGAGTCTTGTGACAGGCAGAATTCAGAAAATATTTTTTATGTAGGGGTCCATTCATTAGTTTCTGTTGCATGTTCATTGCTGAACTGAGATAGGATAAAAAATGTTTGTCTTACACAACTCAGGATTTTCAAGAGAAGCTTTGGGTAGTTATTTGTACATTAACTCAAGTAATCCATTCCTATTCTTTTTTGGGATACTGAATTATACTGATTTTTAACTTGATGCTACTCGAGAACCTTCCCCAGCGATTGTATATTATTTGTTCTACATGCGTTCTTTTTCCCTTTTATGAGGTGACAATACTGAATGAGTGCAGGAACAGCTCAAGCCATTAATGGATCAACTCACCAGAGTGAAAGATTTGAATGTTCCTGATTTTGGAACACTCCAAGCCTGGGAATTGCGAGCGAATGCTGCTGTACGCGCAGCAAATGGGGATTCTGGTGCCATTGATCCCTCTAAATCTTCACAGGGACTTGGATATGGTGGAACGCCTATGCCATTTGTTGGAGAGACAAAGGTAATTTTCTACTCATTCTCCCATCCCTCACCCACCCAGACACAGAAAATTATGTGTACATATAAGATATAAAGTCTTATTTTATATTTTCTAATTTTATGTACTGGTATCATTTTATTGTTGGTAGGGAGCAGTGCTTAAATTCTCATATCTTGGTTGTTAGCAAACATAGTTTAATTTATTTTGTACTACATGTGGTTTGGACTTCAATTTGTGTTTCGGCATGCTCGTGTATTGTGGTTAAGCTTTGAATTAAAGTTAGTGTTGGCATGTATTTGTATATATATGAAAACATTTGAAGCCTACAGTTGGTTAGTATTTGTATATATATGCTATGTGGAGAGTGAATTTAGATTTTTCCAGATTTTTTTTCATTTTAAATTTTCTCACACTATTTGGTTCACTGAGAATTATTCCGCAACCCTTTTCCATCCCAAAGAACTTCAGTGCGAATATAGAAATTCTTCTGGACCTCTTTCTTGACTAGGACTGCTTGATTTAGACTTCTTGGTCTGCATCTCTCTTAAAGAATGATTAGATCCTTGGTATTTCCTAAACTCAAAAACATTAAAATCTTCTTGGGTTCTTTAATTTTTTTGATCCGTCTGTTATACTACCAAATTATATTTGTGGATGATTTTTACCTTCTAAAAGTTTAATTTTGATAAAATTTAAGAATAATGGCTCCTTTGACCAACGATTGTGTTATTCATTTAAACTCTTAAGAACTTGAAAGGTGTGTGAATTTTTTAGAAGTACATGTGTTGGGTTTGAAATTTTCCCAAGTACATTAAAAATACAAATGCAAACTTTTTTTAAACATTCGTTTGGATTTAAATTTTCTTAGAATATCCATTTTCTCACGAAAATTGATTGGATTATAGCCTATTTTCTTTCAAATTTCAGAAGTTGGCTTAGAATTTCTTTAAAAAAAAACTAAAAAGCCATATAATATATTATAACTGGAAAAAATTTACAAGGTTGAAAGACGAGAAACCTTTTACAGCAAGAGGATTAAGAGCACAAAATAAAAACTCTTCCACCACACAGTAGTGCATGGAATAAACTGCCCAGGGTTCTCTCCATCAGCTGCAAAGAGGGGGAAAAAATGTTGTATATATATTATCAAGATGACAAATCTTTTTTGGTAAGTGAATTATTTTTCATTTTCTTGAAACTCTGCTAAATTTTAATTTAGGAATCCCTTTATGCTAATCTATCATAAATACTACAATTTGAGTTTCAAGTTCAGAAGAGAATTGGTTGCTTGCAAGGTTCGAGGGAAGCATAGAACTGCATCTTAATTAAGCTTTAATTGGTTTTATTTACTTAAAATACTTAGCAGCTCGTATCAGGTTGTTTCCATCGTGATAACTTGATATACGTTGTTGGATGCATTCCTTAACTGCTGAAGCTTTCGATGCAAATAGTTGACTGTTATGGTCTTAGAGCTTTGTTTCTGGTTCAAGCATCTCTATATGAATATGTTTCTCCACTCTGTTCATCTGTTTGCACTCTGTTTTGTTTGTTTGCCTCACAAGGTGAATGATGGGTCAGATGTGAGGGTGAGAGTTTTGTTATACATTGATTGGCCCATTCCTTAGCAGCTTAACCTTTTTGGCAAGTAGTTGTATAGCAAACATTTTAGTGTTGCAGATTTGGTTAAAGTTGGCTGAATGTTATTGTTCTGATTATCATTCTTTTATTAAAGCCACCGTTGTTGAATCGATTTTTGCAGGTTTACCATACAATCACTTTTACTCATTGGGTTTGCTACAGTAGTTATCTTGATAGATAATATATATGGAGGTGTAGGAAGTCCATCAAGTTGCTGGATATTTGCTAATTCTCTCAATTTTAGGCTTAAAATCTTCAGTTTTCCAGTTATCCACCAGGGAGCCTAAGCGAGTAGGGCAATTTATGATACTGGCCAAAAGCTTTAAGACTACATAACTATTCAAGTTGATTTCGGATTGGAGGCAGAGGGAAAAGAATAGGTCCTATTTTCATTTATATGTTTTTAGTGTTGAGATATTCTGTTTGCAAATTGAAGAGAATCATCCTAGCTGTTGTTCTCAATTGTGATAACTCTAACGTAGCCTTTGTCTCTCTAAGACCAACGACCTTGTGCCTTAGCCATCCTTCGGCGACCTTGTGATAGAGAAGTGCTATATTAGTCGACAAAAGCAATTTATCACTGACATATGCCATCCATTACCAGTTTTTTCCAACTGTTGAACCAAGTCTGGAAGACTGTCATCCATGTGCCTTATGCATGTTCAAATTTGATTTCATTGGCAAACAACAGATCGAGAAAATTTCATTAAATTCTTTACACATTAATCCCTAGATATATTTGTGCAGTGTTCCATCTAGAGAAACCTCAGGTGCTCATATTTGAGATGAGAGGTTCAAGTTGAAAGTACACACATAATGAAAATAAAGTTGGATTTTAATCTGTTCCTAGCACTCAGGATTAACAGGATCAACAAAGACTAATGGCTTTCCATTATGAGGGTATATCTCACCTTGGAAATTATCTTTTTCAAAGCACCACCATTTGTTATCAGCTTATGGCCCTTGGGGTTGATGGAACCTCTAACCTTTAGGCTTCAATAGAGGTTGAATTTGCTGATCAGCTATTGCAGAGCTTGAAATTTGTTTAAACAATCATTTTTAGATCATTTCAGATGACCTCCCAATTTTGAGGTACTGCTTTGTCAAGAGCCTTGTTATTTTAGCTTAAAAACATCCTCTCTCTCTCTCTCCCTCCCCCCCCCCCCCCCCCCCCACCCACACACACACACAGACAACCTCGACTTATCTATAGCTGATATATTCTGTTATTTTCCTCTTTTTATCTGAGTCCCTTTTTGTAATTAGTCGGGCTTACAAGAAGCTTGCTAAAGCAATGACAGATGACTTCTGGCATCTTCTTTTGTTTTTCTTTTCTTTGGCAAAAAGGGAAATAGTTTCTGTAATATCCGTTTATTTTTAGGATGACAATTTGACCCATTGGGCCCACTCGTTACAGGACATATTTGGGGGAAGTTTAAACGGGCTGGGGTTGGGGGAGAAAACAAAAACACACTCGAGGGTTGGAAAGGGGTTCCCTGCCCCGCATTTATGTATTAGATTTACAAAAATACCTTTTAATTTTAATTTAGTCACTAAAAATTACCAACTATGTATTTGTAATCTAAAATTTCTAATCATGTTTTGATACTTATCCATCACGTGTTTTATATTGTCATCAAATGGTATTCTGAAAGGAAAAAAATAATTTGAAAAAAGAAATACAGGAACAAGATGGTGGCGGGATGGGGGAGGCAGGGGTAGGGCCTTTCCCTAAGATGGGACACAGTGGGTTTGGGGGCTTCTGCCTTTAACGGGGGCAGGGGCAGGGCAGGGAGGGGGCTTCTTGTCCCATACCCACCCCATTGGTATTCCTATTTATTATTCTCCTGAGGATATTGATTGAAATGGTTGGATGCCTTGGTTTCAGGCATCATTTAATAATTTTTACCTTTAAATGGATTGGTTGCAAGTAATTTATGGCTATTTCTTGGCAGGTTGAAGTTGCCTTTTCCGGTGTTGACGAAAAAGGAGAGGATATTAAATCTGAGAATGCAAATTCAATGAAAGTTTTGCCTCCATGGATGATCAAGAAAGGGATGAACCTTACAAAAGAACAGCGTGGGGAGATGAAACAGGAGTCAAAGATGGAGGGCACTTCAGCATCTGCAGGATTATCAGATGACAAAAAGACAGCGGGAAAAGATGATGAGAAGAATTTACAGGCTAGTGCAGACTGATAAACTCATTTATATTTTCTTGACCATCCAAAAAAAAAAATGTTGGTTGTTATATTAATACCTGTCATATAGTAATTGTTTGTTATTTTAATACCTGTCATATATGAACTTTTACTTTATTTATTTAATTCTTAAAATCTCACTTCCTTTCCACTTCCTGATTAATTTGTAGGATGAATACATTAAAGCATATTATGCTGCTCTATTTCATAGGCAACAAGAAGAAGCTGCTTCTAAGAGTCAGGAGGAGTTGTCAATCACTAACATCTCTAATGATGTTTATGACACATCTTCTGGACGCCAAGTTGGCATGAAGTTCAAACGTGAGGAGGGTGAGGCAGATGACGATGTCGAATGGGAAGAGGCTCCACCTGCAGGTAGACATCAACATATCTTACCTTACTTTGAAATTCTAATTTTGCTTTTTAGAAATATTGCAGAAGCTTCTTTAGTAACCAATTAACATCGGTGATGATAAATAGTCAATCATGAAGTCAAGTCACTGTATATATTCCTGTGTTCATTGCAATCTGCTAATTGTCGCTTTCTAACTCACATTCTGCCAAATATCTAACCGAAATACTAAATCTAGTCTGGCAGAACACTGTCTATTAATATGTTTAAAATGTAATCAGAAAGTTTCTTAATATTTTCAAACCATATTCCGAGTATTTATATTAGATTTCAAGTGTTTTGGGGCCTTTTTGCTTGCCTTTTACTTTCCTTCTTTTCTTTTCTTTTCAGAAAATTTATGAACTAAACAGAGAACACATTTTTGTTTTTCATTCTTTATTTTTACAAATGGTTACCAGTTTTTTGAAAAATCCGAAGCATAAAAAGGTTCTTTCACTTCTTTCAGAACATCTTCTGTCAATACAATATAAAACACTGAAAACTCACTGTGTAGCGTGTTGGGGAGTGGGGGAGGTAAGAATATTATTAGAAGAAAGATGGGCCCGTGTCCTTCAGGCTCACAGGAAAAAGCCAACCTACATTACAAAGCTAAACACCAACCATTTGCATAAATAAATCCAGGGGAAATAGAAGTACTACTCAAATCAGTATGAAAAATACAAATTTCATTGAAATTAACTTTTCTCTTAATTTTTGATCAAAAAACCAAAGCTGATGATTTCTGGAAAATCAATGTGTAATTGGTTTTCAAGAATTCCAAAATTTCCTTTGTTCTCTTGTGGGTAGCCATGCTTGATGATATGGGTTTGATGTTATGAGTTCCTGCCCACCTTTATTACAGGTAATACAGGTGAAAGTTACAAGGTTGACTTGAATGTTCAAGCCGATGCTTCTGGAGATGATGATGAGGATGATATAGACTGGGAGGAGGGTTGAGTTTTTTGATCTAAAGTCTTCTATGGACCTAGAGGTGAGAGAACATGATGCAGGTTTTCTCAAGTTCCAGTACGTGATAACTCGTCTGTCATCTCAAAGCAGGTCTACCATACATGTAGCTGGTTGATGTTTTCTCATCTCAGTTTTACTTGGAGATGCCCTGTAAGCAGTAGCACTGACAGTTGATGGTGGACAAAGCGAGAATCATGAAGTAGTCTAAAAATGAGAACGATAAGTAGTAGCACTACTGACACTCTGAAATAGGTTTTTAAAATACAGTTAAATATTCTTTTAGTTTCGTTTGCTTGCATTTGTGTCGGCAAGAAGTGCGTCGAAAAGGTAACAATATTAAATTAATTATTGTTGCATCTTTAGTGTGTAATTTCAGCAGGTAGGAGGGAACTTTGTTTTCTGTGGTGCATTATTAACATGATGAGAATTGGGGCTTACCCATGAGTCAGATTGGCTTGTTATTGTGATCGAACACAGATTGGAGTTCATTGGGTTTGTGTTTGAGCGTGTGCAACTATGAGTAGTAAGTAGTATTGGTTAATTTGACCTACACTGCAATAATCAAGATTAGTTTCAACTTTCAAGGGTGGCCAACAACTCTTTTGACATGTTCGTTTGAAGGGTTAAGTTTGTAAATCTAATCTGAAAAACAAAAGGGGGTCAAATCGAATGGTGGTTTTGGAAGACTAGTAAGTCTCTGATGGTGGGCCGTTACTATTGGGAAAGTGGTATACCGTCTCTATGGTCTTCCCGACAATAACCTCTCATTTCTCGCAAATCCTTTCAATTCAAAGTTCATTCCCACTTCCGAAAGATAAGGGTGGTTCAAAAGTATATATATATATATGTGTGTGTGTGTGTGTGTGTGGAGAGAGAGAAAGAGAGAGAGAGAGACAGCCATTCCTACCTTTCTTTGGAGCTCGAGTAAACACACAACACGATAATGGATCTTTTTTCTCCCACTTAGGTTCATATGTGGAGTGGTGGCCATGAGGGAAAAAGTCTAGCAGGTAAATGAGGGTAGGTCAACCATTCCATTGCAAAGTTAAACAGTTTGTTTTTGACATGGATTGAATGACAAATGTTATCATAAGACTCGTGTCACAAAATTTGATGTATGATTGTGTGATGTGGGACCGTCTGTATTTCAAAATTGCAATTTTTTTATTAAAAAAAAAAAAATTATTTCAATCAAAATTGAAAAATTACATAGAACTAATCTACTCAAGCTGGATCAACCACGCTAATGGAAGGTGATTAAAATAACTTTGGGAACATTCTATAAAAAAAACACATAGGACCCTTAAAATGGGATGGACACGACGATACCATGGTTATAAAATAATAACATAATATATATGCACATGAATTGATTTTTGTTTATTTTATTCACAATATCATTAATATAGTCCCTAATTTGGGGCTTAGGATTGAAGGGGTGTTGTTTTTGTTTTTATTTTTCTATTAACTCATATAATATGCTTTAAAATTGCATTGAAATCTTGTTTTTTAATAAAATTATTGAAAAATTGTCACGAAGTGTTTCAAAAGGATTCTAAATACACGACTGCACTGTTGGAGGGACGATCTGAACTTTTTAGACATTAACCCAAATTGAAGAAGGGGAAAATATATGGCAAAAAAAAAAGTATTTATTTATATAAATTTGAATTATAATATACTCTTTTGTTACGTTTGATGTGCATGAAAGAAATAAAAAAACTACACCCCTTCAACATTACACGGGAGAAGCACTTTCCTTCCTTTCCACCATAAGGGAAGACTATTTTCCTTCAACATTTCGCTCCCCTTGGATCCCTCTACACTCAAATAATAATTATTTTATTTTATTTTTATACCTCTCACTATTCATATTCCCTGTTTGCTCTCTCCCACCTTTCTTCTTACCAAACCAGTATGAATCTGTTGTGACTTACATAATAATCAAGAATGCTAATGTTATTTTCCATTTTCTTTTTTCATTTGCTCATTTCCATCCATTTTCGGAGAAACTTTAAATTTTAGATTTTATTTAATGAGAAGATATCAGGAAAATCGTTATTCTTTTCTTTAATTTCTTCTTCTTTATCCTTCTGCTCACTAAATTGACTTAACCAAATAAAGACTCCATTGGTTCAACATATAAAGTTACAAATGATTTTCTTGCATTTTAATTACTAATTAGTACTTAATATTTTTATATCATTATTAATTACACACACACATATAATTCTATCAATTGTCAAACATAAGTGCACTGTGAGCTGAATCACCTGATCATTGCTCATATATATAAATATATATATATGTGTTCCTTCTCTGGTCATCTGTATTTATAATTCAATGTTTGACAATCTGCTTTTAATGGGCCTTTGTTCCTTGAACGCAAAGGAAGCTTTATTGGAAGACTAATCCACAATTCTGCTCCCTCTCCGCTTCATTTGGACCTAAGAAACCTCTCTCTCTCTCTCTCTCCATATTCATACATTATACATACATACATATATATATATATATTAAACTATAGCATATAACCAGAGTCTCATGGAAGCAAACAGACTCCAATGTCAACCTTCAGCAACATTTCTTGTGCTACTCTATCACATTCAAGCTGTCAACTACATTCCAAACCATTACTACTCCATCATCATCTGAAAATCAAAACTAATACCAATTCCATTCTCCCAGCTGTTTTCTCTCTCCATGCTCCCTCTTCTTCTCCACTATGGCTCCCAAGATTACACGATATTCATTGACCATCATTCTTTGGATCTCTCTCCTCTTCTTGTGTTTTCATGCATGGCGTAATTTCAAGCACGACAACAGCAAAAATGGTCATCTCTCTGATCTCTCTCATCATCACGATCATCACACTTTGCCCACCAGAAAAGCATTAGCCACCAAGTTTGACTTCACACCCTTTATGCGGCATCACCGGAGACACGTCCCCGTCCGGCCGGGAAGCAGCGAGATCGACCCACGTTACGGTGCTGAAATGCGCCTCGTTCCCACCGGTCCCAATCCATTGCACCATTGAGGTTCTTTACAGTTGCCTTTGTATTCATGCTTAAAAAAAAAAAAAAAAAAAAAAAACATTTTTGAGTTTTTTTTTCTTTTCAAATTTACATGTATGATTCTATACTTGTTTAGAGACTGAGAAATCTAATTCAGATCAAACGAATACCATCGTGATTACTATGTTTAAATTTAGTACTGTCTGTCTATGTGTATGTGCTTCATGTGAGTTAAATGTCTCATCTAATTCTCAAGCTATGGTGCCATTTAATTCTATATGATTTTATTTGTAAATGTATTGTATGTTGATTATATTACAGTATATACTCAAATATTTATATGATTTAATTTTCCAATTTATATAATTTTAGTTTGAAACAAAGTGGAGTAGTTGTGACGGGACGGCACGTCGAGGGAAGAGGAAATTATGGTGCCATTGTGCTAATTAACAGTAAACATTATATTAATTATTGGGGTTGGGTATGATAAAAACTTTGAATGATATGATATATATATTAGATTATATTATGTGTAACAAAGCATTACCAGAAAGGGTTGACTTTAATGATCATGTATATATTTATTTTTAAACTCTGATGAAGTATGTTTTGCAGTGATAGGTTCAATTCATTCCAGTTCATTTGTAATACACATGAGACTAGGACCCATTACGGTATTAAATATTATATTTATGCAGTTATCGAATGCACCTTTTGAATTTGAAATTGAAAAAAAGTTAGTACAAATTTAAACTTAATTTTTTTCAATTTCAAATTCAAGACACGGATTCTCCCAAACGTAGCATTGGTTTAACTATATCAGTTAAAGTAGCATTAGTCAATGTATAGTTTTGACAGATATGATTAATTACTAATTATGACAAAAGCCGATGATTTAATAATAAGAACATCTTAAGATCGGAAAATATTGTTAAATTTTGTTTCTATCTTCTTGGTTTGGAGTTAGATCAATCATTTGTTGTGTACAACACTGTGTTGTAGGATTTTCCAACATAATTAACAATATTTTCAACACATTAAATCTACACATTTCAGTAACGTGGATTCACTTATTTGATATGCTCATATTAGATGAATTGAGGAGGTTGTGAAAAGAAAGTGGTGGTGGCTAGTATGACTCTGAAGAAAGTTGAATGGTTTGAGTGGCATGAAAATGATCACCATTGATGCACACCGTTCTTTTTTCCCTGCAATGATGGATGGGTGGGTAATTAGTGGTTGAATGGGTTACAGAGATTTTGTGCATTTCAACAATAGTTGTTGTTGTATGGAACTGTTCTTGAGCTATCTTTGACTTTTAACAAGCCCAGTGGCATCCCCACTCCATGGTGGATGATTCTTCCATTCGAGGCTCCAATCGTGTTCACACACACACACACACACACACACACACACACACATATAGAAAGGGAGAGATGCTTACTGGAAACAAAAAAAAAAGAAGAGGAGAGAGAGAGAGAGGGGTAGATCCAGATGCATTTGAGGATCAGATTAATGGGGGAGTACTGGAGATGCATGTCACCTGAACATGTGCTTCTTGTTCATATTCAATTCTTAAATAGTGTCCCACTATTTTATTAATGGTTCGTTGCTATATTCTGGAAGTAGAATATCACTATCTTCATTCCCTGTTCTCAAAATTTTCATTCTTCTAAATTTTAAGAGTAAAGGGCAAAAAAAAACTCCTAAATTTTTTAAAACCCCTATGTTCAAAAAATTCTCCTAAATTTTTAAAATTGAACAAATAAGAACAAATTTTCAATTTGAAGATTGAAATACCCAAAATATCCTTAAGATAAAGGAAAAATAAAATTTTAAAAATAATTAAAAAATAAAAATGAATAAATAAGTAAATAAATAACCAACGGCCCAATGGTTTAGCGGTATCTGCTTCTTACCTGCCAGGGATTCAAGTTTCATATAGAGACGTGTGTATGAAAAAAAAAAAAAAATTATAAAATCCCAAAAAAATTAAATTTTTTATTTATTAAAAAAAAAAAGAAATTCATAAAATTTCCTTAAGGGTAATTTGGGATTTTAATAAAATTGGTCAAAATTGTTCACCAGGAAGAATTTGCTATAAATTTTCAAAATATAGAAATTTATATTTACTTTTTAAAAAGCAAGAGTGTCTCTCATATTTTTTATATGGTAGGGAATATTTTGCACTTTACCTAAAATTTAATTACGAACTTTTTCACGAAGTGAAAGTTTACAATACCTAGAAATATTGTACCCATGAAGTCTCAAGTAGTTGAATGTGGTGGTGAAACCCACCTGATGAATGATTTAACGAGAGACTCAAACTTTTCTTAAAGTCTCCAGTCGTTAAATTTACTTGATAGTGAGACCTACCTAATGAATGATTCAATAATTAAAAAAAACTCAAAGGGTGTAATACTCCTAGTATTATAGACTTTCTCTAACACATCTAAGTTTATATCTAACTATTAAAAAAAAGAAGAAAAAAAAAAAAAAAAAATTTATGCTATGGTTCATACACAATTCAATTCAAATATAGAGGGTGATGTGTTCTTTTTCTTTTTAATTAAATGCCAGTCTCAACATGTGGGGTCCATGTGGGACCCACATAACAAAGCCAGCTGTTTTCTACTAATTTTGTCAGACGAATAAGCTGGTGCCATGTGGCAACCAGATGTTACTATGGGATAGAGCAAACATGATGCCCCTCACCACTTTCAGTAGCAATTATAAGGGGCCAACTCCAACACAATTCAAACTCTCAGAAGATTCCAGCAACAATCTATTATTTCTGACTTTATTGGGTTGGGTATGCCAATGTCCTCAGCTATGGGAAGCCCAATTTGACTGAGCTTTGAGGTTCCGACTTTTGACGCCTGGTATGGATATGATTGTGGAACTTATTTAAAGCCAAATTCGTAAATATGGGCTAAAAGAGAAAACAGTGGGCTTTGGTCACTTTAATCACTGAATATACACAGTTGAAACTTTGGCCCAAATATAATGTACTTCTTCTAGGCCCAAATATTTCATTCTCACAATCCTTCAGAAATAACAGGGCCTTTTGTTTGTTGCATCAAGTTGATGACTTAAATTTATACCATACGAATTTTTTTTTTTTTTACAAAGACAAAAAGGGTTAGAAGTTAGATTAGTAAAGAGTCGAAACCTGACACTCCCAAAATTCACCGAAAGCACTAACTACTGGACTATCGAAACATAACAAATTAACTATAGTCCATATAGTGTTCATCACTACTGCCATTATCTTGGAAGTATGCATTATTATTGTTGGAAGTATGCATTATTATTGTTTAGAAATGTGTTGTTTGGTTGGCGAGAAAATGAAGGAAATTTTATTTTTCTAAATAAAAGATTATTGGGTTTCATATAATTTATAAAGTATTTTTAAAATTATAAATATATATAGGCCGGGTTATAAATTTAAATATATGCTTCCAGAGAGAGAGACTGCAGTTTCTTTTTATTTTAAAAACAAAGGATTGTGTACACAAAAAGTATACTATAAAAAGGGTGTTTTAACCCTAAACTTTAACTTTGTGCTTATATGCATAAATGACTATTTTAGATTGAAACACCTGCTATAATTTTTGTCATTTTGAGCTTTCAATACTTCTACATTGCAGTTTTCTTTTTCTTTTTCTTTTATTTTTATTTTTATTTTTTTACCAAATGATAGGAGAATTCCTAATACGCTTAAACTATATTTGAAAACACAAAAGGCACAAATTATCCATATTCACTAAAATTTTCAGTTATTAGTTTAAGGTGTAGTTAGAAGATAATCTAGATTGGCCAACCAATAATTTTTGTGACAACGTAGAAGAGAGAGAGTGTGTGGAAAAACACACACTAGTCAAGGTGGCTGGTCCAAATGCACAAGATAAATGGGAGGTGACCAAACACTAATATATATGATTAAATAATAATATAATGCTTTCTTATCTGCTAAACCATTCATTAACCTACCACCACAATATTCATTTCTAGTTTTTGGCTCTCCATGTGCCTAATTTCTCTAGTTTTAGTGCCAATCCCTACTTCTTTCTATTGGTACTATAATATTACTTTCAACTAGTTGTATCAATGAATCGAATTTTAATTCAAATAATTGGATATGAATTGAAAAAAAAAATTTAACAATCCATCAATAATTTATTACCTTAACAAATCGATATGAATTATAGATAATCTAATCTGATTCAAATTATATATATATATATATTATTATTACATTACAATATACTATATATGAATATTATAAATATTAGTTATCTAGAATAATTAAAATTATATATTAATATATTTATTTGGTTGCATAGTCATATTATGCACCATTTTATATATTAACAAATTTTCAATGCATTTAATCTTATATACATGTTATTTTAATCTTTACAAAAATAAAAAATAATTCAAATATAAACTAAATAAGATATGAATTAAAATATTCAATACGATAATTTGTTAATGAAATTGAATTGATCCGGTAAATTCAACCATCCAAATCTATTTTCAATAAGCCTAAATTTCATTTGGTGGGCCCCTGAGAGATAAGAACCCCAAATTCCAAGTTGCATCTTAGTTCCACTATAAGACATCCACCAATAACTAAGGTGAGTCTTGCCGAGTAGACCTCATATACTCACGCCACCTGAATTGACCCAACAATTTTACAATATAATAATATATACTCCTATATATATATATATATTGGTGAATGAAAACAACTGCCTATATCAGGTGAAATCCAAGTGCACCACACGTGGAAGACACATGGTCTAGTGTTTAACTTCCGTAAGCCCACAGAAATTAGTCTTGCAAATAAAATGTTTAAACGTGTTTTAGATTTTCATTTTGTTTTATTTTAATATTTTATTTTTCTGGTATGCAAAGAGTGGCTCATCTTTTTAAAGTGGAAATATCATCTTCCACTTATTAAAAAGTTAAAAGTACTCCGCATGCTCACATACGAGTGTCAAAACTGAAAATGTGTTCATAGCAAAGCAAAGAAAATATTATTAAGACAAAAATAAAAATAAATAAATAAATAACACCACCAGTCCTGTCGTGTAACAAATAAAGCCAAAAATGTTCTCTTTTAATCGTAACCTCCTATGGCACAGACAAGTTAAATTGGAGGCATTAATAATAATAATTATTATTATTTAATTAATAATGTATCAAAGTTTTGTGTATTCGTATCACTCCTAGTGGAGTCAAAATTTCAAAGTCCAATTTTAGACCGCAAACAAACTTGTAATTGGACAGTTAGAGCAAGTCAACTCCATGAGCCACCGCCTATTGCCGGTTACCACCACCATTGTTCCCCTCTCTCTATATATATGTATGCAGAGTCCAAATCCATTCCCTCACCAATTCCCTCCTCTCCGGTGGTAGCTAGTCACAGTGACCAAACACATGGCCGGTACAACACCAATCAACTCCGGCAGCTTGCCGAAGCGTCTTTCCATCGGCTTGCTAGACTCCGTCAATTCTCTCTGGGCTCTGTGCGCCAAACACGCCAGCCGAGCCTCCAGAAAGCTCGCCAGCAGTCCCAGAATCGCACCGCTGACTCGGCCGAAGCAGCTCCTCGCCACCATAAGCAACAAGGCGATCGGCTTCCGACACAAGAAGAGAGCCGGCGAGGAATTCGAAGATGGGGAGTTTGGAGATGGTGGGTTGTGGCAGAGGACGATCATGATGGGCGACAAATGTCAGCCGTTGGATTTCTCGGGTGTAATCTATTATGATAGCACCGGAAAGAAAATGTCCGAGCTGCCCACGAGGTCTCCACGTGCCAGTCCGTTGCCGAGCTATACTTATTCGGCGACGAAAGGAGTGTAGTGATATGGTCACCTGAACGTGTACGAGTTTTGATTTTCTCTCTTTTTCTTTGTTGTTTACGCGTGTGAACATGCAGTTCGGTTTGATTCGAGAGAACAGTGGAGGTGATCAACCAGGGGTTATTTCGTCATCTTTTATGAAAATCAGTTTTTAGTTATGCGTGTACAAACTTTTCAATAGAAAGTGCATTTTGTGGTATAATTTTTGTGACGTTTCGTAGAAATTTCTCTCTGAGTTATACAACTTATATGGCTCTATTTTTATGCTTGTTTTCCGATTTTATTTATTTATTATTATTATCTTTTCAAATTTACTTTATAGTAATTACTTTCAAAATATATTCCCATTTTATACTTTGGTAAAGTATTTTAGAAGGTCAGTCTTGACCTTATGTTATAATGAAGGAAAATGGTACATTTGTCAACTTCTCTTACCTAACTATGTGATAGATCTAAACCCTCTCTCTTTAATCAAGTTCGTATAAAATTATTAAGATAATTAACCTCATGTAATTATTCATGAATAGTGCTTGGTGCTCTTAACTATTTGATAGAAAAGAGTAAACGAACAAAATTTTATATTAAATTCAAGTAGAATAGATGACGATACACTTCAGTGAAATTCATATTCTTTTTATTTTTGTTCGGATTTGTCCAAACCCTCTTTGGCCGGTCTATGTAATATCGATCATCCATGGTCGTTTGATCTTTTTCTTTCTTTCTTTAATAGGTAGATTGCAAGAACCCCTAAACTATCCCACATATTATGAATCAAGTACCACTAACAACCATTAGCTTACTCATGGTAAACTTATTCATCCACCTTTTCTGAAACAAATTATATTGTTATAAATCTAATGATATGTTTAGTTGGAGGGATAGATGAGAGAGGAAATAAAATAATTCTTTTGTGTTTGGTTGGAAGGAAGGAAAAAGAGGGATGAAGCATCACTCCCTCTTTTGTATTTTTCTATTCATTCAAAATTGAAGGAAAGAGAAGAGAAAAAAGGTAATAACTAACATAAATATGCATTTTTCATTTCTAGCCTTCCTAAAGATATAGAATTTTTAGAATTTTAAATAATAAGGATATATTAGTAAAAATAATATAAAATATCATCTTTCCCTCCTTCCAAGTAATATATATATATATATATATATATATATGTCACCCCATCTATTCTTTCTATTATCCATTTCATTCCATCTATTTTTTCTATTATCTATTTCATCCAATCAAACAAAAAGTGAGAGGGAACACCATTCCTTCCCTAAGAATGCCTCATTTATTCATTTCCCCTTTCCCTTTCCCTTTCATTTATTTTTCTATCCCACTAAATAAAAGGACCATAAAAAATAAAATAAAATAATATTTGAAGTTGTAACACACTGAAACTAAAATACAAGAGAAATATATGTAGCGGAGAGGAGAGCTACTCTTATAAAACATACCCCATGTACACATGGCGAGTAATGTATTGAAAATGTAGAATGTAATGTCGCGATGGGGTGGACCCTACTATAATATAACACTACATAAGTTTTAGAAGGAAAATGACTATAAATCTATTGAGTTCGGCAGTGCATACTAAATATAAGAAAGTGAGATCATTTATTTCTTTATTTAATTATTAATGATTAATTAATTGTATTATGTTATATAATTTTGTCCAACTCTTTGATCCAAATATCATTATTCCTGTTAGAAAAGAGATGATTAATGCACTCTTTTTTATGTTTTTGTTTTGATTTTTTTAGTTGATACTTATGTGCACTCCTTTTAAAAAATTATTTGCACTAAAAAAGAATAGAATGTGATGCTTCATGAGGCATTAATGCATACCTAAGTCAACCCTTGAGATTAATGCACTTTAGTTTTAATGTATTTTCTTAAATAACACACTTCTATTATTTTGAGTTAGGACAATATCAAATGTCATTTAACTTTACGAGAAGAGTGTATTTAGTTAAAAAAAAAAAATACGAGTTTTAAAAAAAATTTAATAATGAGTGTTTTTTTTTTAAAAATATTTGCAACAAAGTCATATTTTTAAATAAAAAAATAGTAAAACTAATCCATCAAGAAAAGGTAATATTACCTCAAACGACATGAGGTGCCAAATATCGTTTTTAGAGTTCTTGAAGGGTTTTCTGTGTGACATACTCGGTCGTAATTGATATTGAGTGTTACGTTAAAATTTCAAGGTGTTTAAAGGGGAATTTGTTATCCATTTTTATTTTCTATCAAAATTGGTTAACAAGTTATGATTTGAAGAAGTAATAAATATTGATAAAAAAAGAAAAACTTATACACCAATTAGATTTGGAAATTGCTATTCCATAGCCTTCGATCAGTCAAAACACCGATAGATTGAAACCTAAGTCCAATGAGCTTCAATCAATCCTTTAATTGATCCATGAATCCCAATTTTATTAGGATTTCTGATGTTCAAAAATAGCTTAATGCATCCTTAAACAAAATTTTCGGATCAAAACATGAAGTTTGCAAAGACTAGCATGTTTAATCATATGAATGATGTACGTGAACCCTCCCTAATTTGATTAGTGCACAACATTGAGAGTTCAATTTACCTTGATGTCCTTGTTGAAGTTTTAATTTTATTTTTTCCATGGTAAATCAATGGTTTGTGGACCAAGTTCTACTAAATTAACAAGTAAAAATTTAAGATTACAACTCTTGTATAATGTTTGTGGACAAGTTCTACTAAATTAATGTTTAATCATTTTTATAGATTTTTTAAAGATACAACATTTTTAGTTTGTAGTACATGGTAATGAAATTCTGTAGAATATCTGAAGGAAAGAAAATTTATTGAAATGTCAACTAATTAATGCTACAAACAGAAGTTTATTGGAATAATTTAATATTTCGAAACTTGTTAATAAACTACTGATACCGGACTAATTTTCTTTAAAAGAAGGGGTTTATAACAAATTTCACACATTATGGCTGGGCTAGACAAATCATTTTATTGTCCTAGAGAATTGCTATACAAGATTCTCACATTCTTACATCTTGGAACTTACAAATCACACCATCACTTATTTATAAACATTATGAACGGCTAAAATGCTTAACAATTCATGATTAAAATTTAATCTTTAGAATTCTCTATCCATATATACAAAACACCCTAGACCTTTTTAAAATCTCTTAGTCTTTACAAATCTCTATAAACTTTACAATACTATAGACTCTTCTAACTCTCTCAACATTCCACAATCTCAATACAATGTGAAAAAATTGGAACTTTACTTATGTGTGGGAGTCTCCTCTCCACATCACCACCTCTTTGTAATACGCAGGCGGGGTAATAGCACTTAATCATATTTAAGAAAAGAAAAGAAAAGAATTTATTTTAATAAATTTATCACTATACCTTTTTACATTTAAAAGACATATATATATATATATATATATATATATATTTATATATATAAAAGAAGTGATAAGACTAATATAAAGATTGTTCTAAAAAAACATGTCATAGGTTTCATATGATATTTTGATTTTGTCTTTTATAAAAATACAACAGTCAAGCCCTTTCTATGTTTTCATTCGGCCATAATCTCTGTTAGTTCACATATTATCATATCTTTATGAATTCTAATAACTTTGGTCTTCTCGTATTATTTTCAATATGGAATATATATGTCGCTCTTCCTAACTAACGCACTTATAGATTTTACTCACAACCAAACTATTTTAACCGATTTCCCCTCATTTCATTTTTAATGTGTGCTACTCCAACCATCTCACGAATTTAATCATTTCTAATTTTTTCATTTTATCTTTTTTAGTTTTACAGCAAATCCATCCCAATATTCACATTTTTGCCACACTTTACTTAATTCGTACCTTATTTCATAACTACCCAACATTTTCTAGCATAAAGTGTGGCCAATTCAATAGAACTTCCCTCATGCATTCCTCTATTAAATGTTTGAAATGTACCATGGCAGGGTTGTACTTTTTTGGAAGTCGTTTTATTTTCTTCTGTTTGGACCTGTTGTCCAAATGAGCCTTGGTATGCTTTAAATTTTTCTATATACATCTTTTCTTTTGTGTTATGTTTGGTTAGAAGGAATGATTAAAGAGGGATGAATAAGAGGAAAGAATCAAGAGATAAAATGCCTTTTCCGTATTTGGTTGGAGGAAGGGAGGAAGCATCCCTCGTTGCTATTTATTTTGACCCAGAATGAAAAAAATATCTAATTTTTATAATTTAATGTGATCAGGATATATTGATAAAAATAATATATAAACTCTTTTTCTTTCCTTCTAACCAAACAGAAAAAAAAAAAAGAAAAAAAGTGTCACACCATCAATCGGTTGTATTTGGTATAAAATTTTAATAAAAAATTATTTAATTAGACAATTCACTGCAATTTTTCGATGTGAATATCACTACTCTTTTTGTTATCAATTTTATTTAACCAAACAAAAAATGAGATATACGCATTCCCATCCTTAAGATACCCCTTTCATCTCTTCCCCCTCTCTTTTCTATCTATTTTTCCACCCCAACTAAAAGGAGTTTATGTTATTTTTATTTTAAAATTTTATGTTTAATAGTTGGTCCCAAATGGATATTACTTTGGCTCCACCCTTACCGAACATACCACTATTCTATTCTAAAACAAACTAGTATTACCTTATTTTATTTATTGGATGAATGTACTATTTTTTTTTTTTATTTTTTATTGAGCAAACTATCAAAAATATAAAAAAAAAGAAATACTACTTTGTCTTTTACTGAACTTAAATAAAACACATCTAATATTATGAATTTGGGACACCTAATGTCATTTAACTTTACGAGAGGGTGCATTTAAGAAAAAAAGGAAATACGATTATCAACTTTTAAAAAATTGTCATTTTGTAATTTTTTTAATAATAAACTAGAGTTTTAAAAAATGATTTGCAGCAAAGTCATTTTTATATTTTTTATATTTCAAATAAAAATTAATAAAATCAAACTAATTCATCAAGAAAATGTAATATTATGTCAAATGACACCCTTCGTCCTTTGCGGGGTTCCAAAGGAATTTTCATTCCTTTCTGTGTGGACATAATTGATATTGCCAATACCACCACACAATGTCTAAAATAGTGGAAAGTGTTTAAAGGGAAAATTTGGTACGCCAATTTTATTTTCTATCAAAGTTGGTTAAACAGTGCAAACAAATATTAATGGTTATCAAATTATGATTCGACGGTGCCAATAAACAATGAATAATCTGATACACCAATTGGACCATTTTACTAACTTGCGCACTATTAAATCCTATATCATCTACTGCCACTATCATTTGTGGTATAAGAATGTTCATTGAATATTTGAATGGTTCAACTTCATTTCATACCAATGAGAAGATGATTATTCAACTACAGAATCTATGCACACTTATGGTGGAAATTCAAAATTTTCTAGTCAATATCAACTATATGAAGTAGTAAACACACAAACCAAATTCATTTATTCCAAAAGATAAAACCTTGATCTGATGTGCTTGTGTCTATATATATTAAAGATTGGTCGGGTCTAAATCAAATTTTCACAATGACCAAAGGTTATTTTGACTCCTCTCTATAAAATATACTAATGTCTATATATTAAAGTTGATTGGGTCAAAATCAATTTTTCACAATGACCAAAGGTTGTTTTGACTTCTCTTTATAAAATAATTCAGTCCGGTCAAAATCAATTTTTCACAATGACCACAATGACCATAAGTTATTTTGACTTCTCTCTAGCCTTTGGTCATTGTGAAAATTTGATTTTAAGCGTCCAATATTTAAAGAGAGGGTCAGAATGCTTGTTCATGGAATGCACTCTAATGGGCTGCTGCTTTGATCCCAAAGAGATAGACCTTGTGTTATGTGTGCATAGGCATGTATATAATAATATAATAAAGGAATTGGTCAAATCAATTTTCCTTTAGAATCAAAGGTTACAGTGAACTATACATGCCACTCTAAAATGAAAGGTTGGAAAGCTTGTTTAAGTTTTAAGGTGCGCAATTAATTCAATATTAGAATCTTTGAAAGGTTTTGTAATACCCAAAAGCAATATTGTTTGTTTTTAATTTTTTCAGAATCGAGACTTTTAGGATGTCTCTATCTTGATATTATTCCAAAGTAAATTGATTTAATTTTGAAATTTTAATGAATCTACAACCATCAAGATTTTAAAATACATTATGTTATAAAAAAATGTTGAACCTTACATTTAACACTTTATTTTTTGAAATCACGAGTCCTTATAATTTATTCGTGAATAATTCGTTCAGTGTCTCATACTCGTCCAGAGAATGTGTTACTGGATCATTATTATATAACACAGCCAATTATCCGAAAGTGAAAATAGCACTGGTCATTGTCAGCACTTGCACTGAAATTCACTCTCATGAGCCAAAGCGCATTTTTTGCCCAATTTTATTCTATTCAAAAATAGAATAATGGAGATAGACACTAATGGCCCTTTTTGAATTTTATTAAGAAAAAAGGAAGAACATAAAAAGTAGCAATTTTTCTTCAATTAAATTATATCGACTTCCCCAGTGATTTGACATGATGATATAATTACAAAGATGGATTAGAAATGCTATGACAGACGCGTTATTAACCTTTCATTAGATTGCAGTAACCTCACATTCTTTTGCAAATCATATAATGTAATTGACGACTAACTTGTTACAAATCATATGATTAGTGATGAAAATTGGTGTAAAATAGAATTATTTTAAAATAGTATTAAGGGTGAAGTGGCATTAGCAAGAATAAAAAAAAAAAGTAAATTTTTGAAGTCTCATGTTTTTTAATAACACCTGACTTGAATGGTACGTGTAGTATGAAGCCTATATACCTCTATAAAAAAAAAAATCTTTTAAGACTGCAAAACAGCAGGCCGGTTCGGCCCACTACAAGACTGGCCAAATCAGCCCGTTGTTCAAATGAGCCGCCCAGCTCTATGAGATAGACCGACTAGTTTATCTCATGTGGATTTCCGTCTATGAGATAGACCGGTGGGCCCATTGCTTTATCTCATGTGATTTCCTTGACCCACATAGATGTATTGGTGATTAATGTCGGGAACAGCGGAGATATTCATTCTCCTCGTCGGTATATATATAATTGTGTTGATTTTTTTTTTTTACAAGTTTATGGAACTTAAGTCACTCAAGTCAAATCTTCTAAGTTCTAATCTAATACAGTTCAGTTTATAGAAACGGATACGCTCTCACAGTCTCACATCTCGTGCACACTCTGATACTGCTCTCACATTTCTTGCACATCTCTCTACCTCGCTATATGACTTAGCTATATGTACCACTTAAAATGGGACAAATTTCTGTTTTTAGCTATATGTACCACTTAAAATGGGACAAATTTCTGTTCTTAGCTACACACGACTTAAAATGGGACAAACTTCTTCTCTTCTCATTGAGTTATTAATGATTTGGAATGATTTGGTATGCGTGACCGACAATAAACAGGAAAAATAAAATAAAAAATAAAAAAATAACATTAGTTTTAAATATATATATATATATATATATGTGTATATATATATATCAATAATAATAATAATCTTTATTCATATTTGAATAAATTATAAAAAATAATAATAATATTCTTGTTTGAAAAAAGATAAAAAAAAAATAATAATACTAATTAAATTACTATCATAATTTTGATAATAATCAACTATTATAAGAAAATAATTTTGAGATAACGAAAACACTACCTAATCAGTATTCTTTTCATATATCAATAGCAGATGAAAATTTTGAAAATACTTTCCCAATCCTTTATTATCTTTTCATTAAAATTTATCCAAACACAATTTTCATAATCATTTCTTTTCCTTTTCTTTTCTTCTCAAATGCCTCCAAATCGAAGCCTAATGAAGGATAGAATCAAATGACTGTGTCAGGATAGGCCAAATGTTCCTTTATGGCTGGGCCACCTCCATATGACTAATACACTGGTTCATGTTTATCCATGACCCCACAAACACCATCAAACCCTCCCACATTTCTCAATCACATCAATAAACTACTACCAATTTAAAATTAAAAATAAAAATAAAATAAATAAATAAAAGTTATAAGATATATCAGTCAGCACAGTGCTCACAGTACATACAAACATGACGAATTCATGACACAAAGGAAAATATCAAACATGTTCAATAAACCCGGTTCATCACATTCCGGTTCACAGCTGCCTCAACCCACACCACATTTCAATTAGATCCACAAAACTACAAATGAAATGACAAAACATCAAATCATGTCAACAGAAAAACCGGTTCACACTTAACCCGGCCGGTTCTCCTGTCCTTCGCAATCACGCACCGGGAGCTGCGTCCTTCACCTTACCATGCAAATATCCACCATACTCTCTGGCATAGTCTATCACGTGAGTCGCCGTATCGGCGATCCGGCTTCTGGCATACTGAACCCGGTTCGAACCGGGCGGGTTCAGCCCCCTTGAGTACCTGTACATCCAAGAGAGAGCGGCTGTGACAGCCACAACGAAGCCGCACATCGACAAAAACCCGGCGACGGAAACGAAGAGGATCGCCGCCGCCGGTACCCAGATGGGGCTCGATATGATGAGCAAAGGAGCCAAGAAGATCAGACCCAGAACAATGGTGGTGACGGTCAGACCGGTGAGGAGGAGTAAGATGCCTCCGGAGATTATGAGGGTCAAGAATCCCATGAGTTGGGTTGAACTTGGAGAATGTTCATGGAACTTGCCGAGAAATCCACCACCTTGATTGGTGGAGTAGGTGGCGGTGATGGGTCTTGGTGCTCTCCGATGTTGGCCGAAGCCAGAGTGCCGATCGGACATCGTAAAGATTCGAGAGGAGAATCTGTTGTGTAGAGAGAGAGAGAGAGATGGGAGAGAGAGAGAGTAGATATACCTCTATGAGGTTGTAACGTAGAAGGAGGGTAAGGTTTTTCTGTGACACGTGTGGGGGAGGTACAGCGCAAGTGCACACGTGGGAGACATGCTGGACTGGCCTTCTTTAGATTTGGTAATTCGGTGTGGGGTTTAATTGGGTAAGGCACAGGTGTATTGAAGGATGGTGTGATTCTATTCCTTGCCCCTTGGGATGGTGATGATGGTGTTTCTCTTGCATATTGATCACTTAATTTACTAATAATATAAAGCAGCAAGTGTATGCTTTTGTAATGGTTGTAATTTATTTATATGTGTATAATTTTGGGGTGGAAAAATTAGAAGAAAAAAAAAGAAAAGAAAAAGTTAATTAAAAGTTATGAACCCACATGCACCTTTAGTCATCAAAATGACCAAGGGTCACTTTACAGACCTCATTTTTCTCTTTTTTTCCCCTCACGTCAGTTTGCTCTCTCTCATCCTCCTCTCATTTTTCTTTTTCTATACAAACTTCAACTTTTGATTATACTCTAACCATTTGGAATTTTTGGACGTCGTTTACGGCAAAACGGAGAGCTCGTTGAGATCTACACATCGATGTAAACAATTTCAGCTTTTGGCCACTTTAAGAATTCCGAAAATTTGAACTCATTTGGAACTTTTCTACAGTTAAGAGGTAGGGGTGTTCTAATTCATATTTTCTTTGATTTTTGTGAGTTTTCCCCTTTAATTTGATTCAAGCATGTTTGATTTTAGCAATTTTGCCTATATTGTTGTGGTTGTATGTAATTAAAGTGATGGATGTATTATATGTGTTAATTGAACCAATGATTATGATTATATACTTGGTGGTGAAGATACATGCTGAGTATTGACATTTTAGGTGCCCTATGATTTTTAATTGTTATGAAAAGTGATGTTGAAATTATGAAAATAAATGTGAGGATTTCCCTTAATAATGTGATCATGATGTAGACGGAATGTATGAGATTTATTGTAAATTTTTCTTGAGAAATTGTCATGATGTTAGATATATGATGCGTATCTCTATGTGTGTTATGTGTAAATAATACATGTGTGTATGATTTGTTTATTGGATATAAAAAGCATGCTTTTGTGATTATGTCCTTATTTAATATGTGCAATTGTATAAATTTTGTTGACTGAAAGTATGCTATAAATTCATGAGAAAATTCTTCTTTAGTATGGAATGTTGTTAAGGTTTGATGATGTGAAAATTATAGTAAATTGTGAAGCATGAAGCATTCATGCATCCATTGGGAAAGAAAAAAGGGGAAAAATATTTTTTTAAAAAACCAATGAAATTGTTTTGGGGAAAAGTTTTTGAAAAGTGTTTGTGAAAACCCAGACGCCTAGAAGGCGCCTAGTGGTCCGTGGTGTTAGTGTGGTCTAGAGAGGGGACTAGGGAGAGACCCTAGTATGGTTGAGCTAACCAGGCCGGATGCGACGCCTTGGAGATGCCTTGTGGTCGTGGATGGTTAGCCAATCCCTCTTTCGTGATGCTTTGGAGGTGCCTTGGGTCGGATTACACTAACGGTTTGGAAGTTGAAACGGTATGGTTTCAGAAACGGGGAGTGACATTACATGGCATGGCACATCATTGGCATACGTGATGCATTTGGTAATTGGTTGAGATATGTATGTTTGTTGATGATGCAATGGTTTTACTTGACTCTCGAGATATGATCCCGTTCTCTTGCTTTCTATTCTCTATGTGGATTCACGGGGTCATAAGAGTTGTGTCTTAGACACTTCCTATTGAGCGTTTAGCTCACCCCATCATTTAAACATTTTTCAGGTCACGAAAAGGAAGTGGCGGACGACGTTCTTCCACAGGTTTGACGGGTTAATGGACTGTTTTGACATATTTTATGGCTATGATCCCATCATTATCATTATTATTATTATTATTCTTATTATGTATCGACATAGGAAAGGATGGTAGTACCCTTAATTAACTTCGGGTTCGGATAAAGACTCAGTTAGCGATTCGAACCATCGGGTTCGGGTCGTTACAAATTTGGTATCAAAGCGATGGTTCGAAAAACATTAGGACGACGGGTAGAGGCTTACCTAGGGTTGTGTGGGAAGTCATTTGCATTATTTATGTGACTATTTGCTAAAGTGTTTTGTTGTTTGAAAAATATGTTTAACTGTCTACTTGTTTACATGTTTATGTGTTTACGGTTTTGAAAGACATGCTTCCTTGCTATGTGTTTGTACATTTATATGTTTATATGCTAAAGTTTATGTTACATGGCCATGTACGAGGAATAATTAGATGATCTAACCATGTAAATGAAATGTGAAAGAAAAGGAAAGCATGTTGATTATGTATGAAGATTATGGTGACGAAAAGTGGTAGGCACGGTGTGTGCAGTTCTAATTTAAATACTAATGTGACAAGTAATGAGTATGGTATATGCAGATATGTTTTTTGTACTATTGTGGGTTTCATTCATTTTGTAAACGTATATGTCTATATTTTTATATGGTTATACGGTTAAGCATTGGGATAGTTACTAATACGGTGGGGTACTTGTCACGGCATAGATGATTGTGCAAGTCTTGACCTGAGTAAGCGAGGAGCTCGGTTGCTCCAGGGTTGTTTGGTGCCAGTTCTTATTGAACGAATGGCTTGGTCTTTTAGCTCGTGGATTGAGCTATCCAGTGTGGGGTCCTCTTGATCTTCTTAGTGCATTTTGTGCGGTGCTTAGAGCATAACTTTAGAATGGGTTTGTATTTCATGGCACGGTGATTATGTTGTTTGTGAGTTTCATGCATTGGTGCATGGGTTCCTGTGACCGTGGGGGTCAGGTGTGCGAGTGAGGGTTTTGTGGGAGAAAGGTATGACCTTAGGAGGTTAATATTTGTGACCTGGGTTACGATTTGGTGCGGAGGCTCTTTTCGAACGGGTCATGGTAGGTGTGACAGAGGTCGTTTGAGAAACGAATGTGGTTTATGGGTTGTAGATATGCATTGCGGGTGTACTGGTATGGTGTAAGAAAGTGTGTTGGTTGAGGGGTGATTTTTTTCCATTTTAAAAAGTTACAGGAGTGTACTATGGGTAATCGACTCTCGGTGGGTCAATTGTATGGCTCGATGGATGAGTGGAGTTATAGGTTGTCATAGTTATCGAGAGAGTCACAAAATGAGGTATAATGGTCAGTTTTAGCTGTGTGATATGAGATTGCACGATAAGGCAGGTAATATGGGGTCATTGGTATGTTTAGTTGTTACAGATGAAGTGATTAATGGTAAGTACTGTGTTACCAAATGAACTGTGTTTTAGAAATTGTAAGTTGTGGACTAGAGTTGAATTTTATGTTGCATTTGGGGTATGAAGAAGTAGTGCTAGTTGTTTGAGGATTTGAAGAAGTAGACTGATGATTAGAATGATTGGGACGAGGGTGATCCCATAAGTCTAGTTGGTAGCCCCAATTGACTTTTGTCCGGGCCAAAGGGGGTTCTGAAGAACGGGGAAGAGGGGAAGTAGTGACGTTGAACCTAGGGTATGAAGCTTTCTTGTTTAGGCATGTAGATTGTCTTAGAAATAGTGGTTTGGGTGGCCGGTTAAGAGTTGGTGATTGATTGCATTATAGATGGTTTTGAGGAAATAGTTGGGTGTTGAGCATTCTAGGTTTTATACTCATTTTTGTTTTGACGATTTGTCGGCATGGCATTGCAGTATGGAGGTTCTTTTCTAGTGGTAAATAGTGGCCGTTGTGGGGGAGTATCGAGAGTGATACTTATTCTTTTGTTATGATGGTGTTACCTTAAGGATGTTTGAAAAAGAATCGCTTAGTTGTGGCTTGATGGTCTGGTGGGGTGATAGGTTTGAACCGTTGTTTCGAATGAGTGGCAGTAGAGGCGTTATGGTGTGATGTTTAACATTGATGAGTATAATGGTTTCAGGTATGAACCGAGAATAGATTAGAATTGTGAGTGTTGTTGTATGTTGTCAGGTAGGTGATGGGATTGTACGCCAGTTGAGGTGATTGTGGACGGCTTAGTTTTTAGAACCAACAAAGCGGTGTTGCCGGATATGCACCTTTTTCTTTTGAGGAGTCAGTGGACTGTTGTGACTGAGGTCATGGGTCTTGTGTGCATGGTGTTCGAGGTAATGTCGTTTTGAAGGGTGAATGTGGAATGGGTGTTAAAGTGTCATTTTATGCCTTTGAGGTTGTCATTTGGGAGTGACGGTTTCTAGATAGGACGGAACGCGGTGTCCAAAGTGCTATGATTGTTTCTAGTGATCGAGTGTCGTGAGCATTAGTGCTCTTATCTGGTTGGTTTTGGTTGGCATGAGTATCACGATATAACGTATGTGAGGATCTATGTTTGTGTTTGACGGTCTATAAGTGGCGAGGTCGCCTAGCATTACGTTGGTAGTCCCGTATGCGTTTCCAGTTGGTTCTTCTCCTTGTGTGTAAGGAGTTCATTTCATCTCAGGTGAGATTAGGTGTCCACGGTTGGACGATTGGTGAATAGCGTTTGACAGGGTGTCGGGTGCATTCAGGTGTGAGTTGTCAGTCTCTTGTAAGAGCGGGGTTCATTACCCTTTTCATTTGTTCTAATCCTGGTAAGGACGTCGTTTGTCGCGAGACTTGTACTCCGTCTAGGAATTGTGCGCGTCTGTGGGCGGACGGATTTGTGAGCAGTTTGTTACGTTATTAGAGTTCATCGATTGAGGTCCTGATTGAAGGGGCCGACTCAGTCCCATGAAGGGAGGTGAAGTTTTCGGTTTTTGTAGTGTTTGTTTTGAGAGTGGTTTTGATTGGTAGGATGTGAGGCACGGGTTGCTGAATATGGGTTGTGTTTATGATATTTAGTACTAGCGGAGATGGCTAGGAAATGTGTCGTGAATCACAGCTTGAGGATAATTAGGTGATGTGATGTGACTCATGTATTTGGATGTTTTTAGAGGTGATTGATTCTAGCAGTGTCTTGAGGACAAGTGTTGGTAGTGTTTGAATGTTTTGCGGTTAAAGTGTGATTATTGGATTCCACTGAAGAACTATAGGAATGATTGACCTTGGTTTTGAGGTTTCAGGCATGAGATAGTCACATTGTGTATTTTGACGGGGTAGGAATTGAATCGAGTAATGTTACGAGTTGTTTACTTGGTGTGGGTGTTATGAGGAAATTAGGGATCTTTTATGCTAGTTGATGACTGTGGTATTTGGTGCCATATTGTTTTTAGCTTTTTATGGTTGTTTTGTTGAAGTATGATTGGGATTTTTAGAGCAAGTATATGACTGTATAGTTGTTGAGGTTACGTAGAACGATGGATTAACAGTGGGTGGATCTCATAGTTGTCTTGTGGACTGCGTAAGAGTGTGTTTGAGGTTTGGACCTGAGGACAAGAACGATATCTGTGTTGAGACCAGATCGATGATGAGAATAGCCTGGCCAACCATTTCTCCTGAATCAGTCCCTCTTAGCACGGTGTCAGGTCAAAAGTCAATGATTGGTTTAATTTGTCAAGGATAATGAGAGCACGGTATTGCGCGTTGTGTCGGTGTGACAGTGTGGATTCGGATGGTTTGTTTTGGGTGACGGAGTGTGTTAGGTAGTACCAAGTGTCTGGTAAAGGGTTTGTGGTATGATCATTGATTATTGAAGATCTTGTTTTGAGGATTTAGGTTCTAGGTACAGGATAGTACGTTTTATAGCTCTTGTGACTTATGATTATGCAGTCGTTGGGAGATTTGTTGTTTGGTCATCTTGCGGATGATAAGTTTAGTGATTGCTGCTTGGTGTGGTTGGTAGTCCTTTTACGGGTATGTAATGGTGTAATTGAGTGTTAGGTAGTGAGTGTTCGGTCAAACAGAGATGTGTAGATTAGAGTTGAGCTTGAATGTGAGATGGGCGGGATTCTTTTTCTGGAGTTTTGTTTGTCCTTTTAGGAAGGAGTTGAGATTGAATATTGTCATGTTCGGTGGTCTAGAGACCGTTCTTCTTTCGGGCTTCGGAGTCTTGCGCAGTAGTGTAGAGTGGACTGATGTCCGTTGAGAGTTGGATGTAGGGCCTAGTTGGTCTCGTGTTCTAATGTCGTGAGTAATGAGTTCCCTCATAGGGTGGTGAGTATTGTGTTTTTGTGGTAGTGGTGTGCGATTGCCTGGTGACGTCCGGTGTCAAAGGCAATAATGTTGGTGAGTTCATGGTTTTGGGGTTTTGCGAGGTGTTCTCGGGAAGGCGTGTGGTTGTGGGTCTCCTCCTTGAAGGAGGGTAGATTTCGAGGACAAAATCTTTTAAGGAGGGTAGATTGTGGTGGTTGTACTTTATTTATATATGTATAATTTTGTGGTAAAAAAATTAGAAGGAAAATAAAGAAAAAGTTAATTAAAAGTGATGGGACCCACATACACCTTTAGTCATCAAAATGACAAGGGTCACTTTACAGACCTCATTTTCCTCTTTTTTTCCCCTCATGTCAGTTTGCTCTCTCTCATTATTCTCCCATTTTTCTTTTTCTATACAAACTTCAGTTTTTGATTAATCTCTAACCACTTGAAATTTTTGGGTGCCGTTTGCGGCAAAACGGAGAGCTCGTTGAGATCTACAAATCAATGTAAACAATTTCGGTTTTTGGTCACTCTAAGAATTTCAAAAATTTGGACCAATTTGGGGCTTTTTCTACAATTAAGAGGTAGGGGTGTTCTAATTCATGTTTTCTTTGATCTTTTGTGAGTTTTCCCCTTTAATTTGATTCTAAGCATGTTTGATTTTAGCAATTTTGCCTATATTGTTGTGGTTGTATGTAATTAAAGTGATGGATGTATTATATGTGTTAATTGAACTAATGATTATAATTATATACTTGGTGGTGAAGATACATTCTGAGTATTGACATTTTAGGTGCCCTATGATTTTTAATTGTTATGAAAAGTGATGTTGAAATTATGAAAATAAATGTTAGGATTTCCCTTAATAATGTGATCATGATGTAGACGGAATGTATGAGATTTATTGTAAATTTTTCTTGAGAAATTGCCATGATGTTAGATATATGATGCGTATCTCTATGTGTGTTATGTGTAAATAATATATGTGTGTATGATTTGTTTATTGGATATAAAAAGCATGCTTTTGTGATTATGTCCTTATTTAATATGTGCAATTGTATAAATTTTGTTGACTGAAAGTATGCTATAAATTCATGAGAAAATTCTTCTTTAGTATGGAATGTTGTTAAGGTTTGATGATGTGAAAATTATAGTAAATTGTGAAGCATGAAGCATTCATGCATCCATTGGGAAAGAAAAAGGGGAAAAATATTTTTTTTAAAAACCAATGAAATTGTTTTGGGGAAAAGTTTTTGAAAAGTGTTTGTGAAAACCCGGACGCCTAGAAGGAGCTTAGTGGTCCGTGGTGTTAGTGTGGTTTAGAGAGGGGACTAGGGAGAGACCCTAGTGCGGTTGAGCTAACCAGGCCGGATGCGACGCCTTGGAGGTGCCTTGTGGTCGTGGATGGTTAGCCAATCCCCCTTTCGTGATAACTTGGAGGTGCCTTGGGTCGGATTACACTAACGGTTTGGAAGTTGAAACGGTATGGTTTCGGAAACGGGGAGTGACATTGCATGGCAAGGCACATCATTGGCATACGTGATGCATTTGGTAATTGGTTGAGATATGTATGTTTGTTAATGATGCAGTGGTTTTACTTGACTCTCGAGATATAATCTCGTTCTTTTGCTTTCTATTCTCTATGTGGATTGACGGGGTCATAAGAGGTGTGTCTTAGACACTTTCTACTGAGCGTTTAGCTCACCTCATCATTTTAACATTTTTTAGGTCACGAAAAGGAAGTGGCAGACAGCATTCCTCCACAGGTTTTGACGGGTTAGTGGACTGTTTTGACATATTTTATGGCTATGATCCCATCATTATCATTATTATTATTATTATTATTATTATTATTATTATGTATCGACATAGGAAAGGACGGTAATACCCTTAGTTAATATCGGGTTCGGATAAGGACCGGGTTAGTGATTCGAACCCTCGGGTTCGGGTCATTACAGCTTTGATTGAAATTGTCATGAAAAATCAAATAAATCAATTATGCTCATTTCTTGAAAATAATAATTAAATTTTAACCAATAAAATGCTCGAAACAAAAGTCCATCCTAATTGTGTAAGAACAGTCTAGATTGGTTTAATTTATAATTCCATTTATCTTCATGAAGTTGAGCATTGAGGAATTGTGACAATTCTAATACATTCCTATGGTTTTGAATAAAATATTACAAACCACTACCATTGGTACTAAATAGTAAATACCACCAGTATGAAATACAAAACAAACAACTAACATCAAGAGCAAAAAGAAGAAAGCAGCAACAAAATGCACCCTTCGGTTCCCAACCTCCTTTTCACTTGGAGGCACATCAATCTTGCTAACCACTCGGCTTTCCATTTCTTCACTCTCCATCTCTTGCCTACTTGAATTGCTTGAACCATTATTGTTCTCCAACACATTCATTTCAAGTGATGACAATTCAGGTTCCTCTTCCTCCAATGCAGCAATTGTGTTCACACTTCTGTTGTCTTCACAACTCTGGCCACTTTTTCGCTCATCATCCGATGCTCCTCTCACCGATTCTGGGGAATCTTGAAACGTTGATGGCGCGGTTTGAATTGAGTCATTAAAAGAAACTCTCCTTTTGCGCGGCAAGCTAGGTGTCTCTGGAGTTTGCGTCGCGTTGTCACCTTTAGTCTTTAGCATTGATGTTTTCTCAGGAACCATTGACGTGGAAAACCTGCGAATTAGGCCTTTTCTGCTAGGAGGGGACCTGCCTTGTGTCGGTGCAGCACTTGTATCATACCGGCTTCTCCCCCATCTCTTTATGTATTGAATTAGACCATACTTCTTATGAACACTTGTTTGGTTAGTGGAAGAGCTATCAATTGTAGTAGTGGTGATTTTGTCGCTCTCAGAAGTGAATGCATTGGATGAAATGCTGTCAAAATTATAATCAAAACTTAGCTTGCTGGTTTTCTCGTGTGAATCACTGCTTGAGATGCTTTGTCGCGGGGTTTTGTAGTCTTGAACTTCAAGCCTCAAGCAAGTGTTGAGCCAGCGTTGGTACACTAGTTCTTCCACCATCTCAAATCTGTTCTTCTGTAGTCTTTCCGCTTGTTTTCTGAGATTTTCATTAACAAGCCTCAAGCTGCTTAACTCCTCCTCCATCTTCACAAGAATTTTTCTCTTCAATTCCATATTAAAAAATAAATAAATAAATTAGCATAGCAATAACTGTATGCAAACATAAGTACATACATAAATATGTCATTAGTGAAAGCTGTGAAATGTTATGTACCTCAGTCATATTGGAAAGTGCAGTGATTTTGGCTTGAGCAGCAGCCAACATAACTGACAATTCCCTCTTCTCTAACTGAAGCTCTTTGTTCCTTCTCTTCTTCCGAACAATTTCCAACTCTACATCTTTCATGCTCTCGAGCTTCTTCTCAACCTTGGCATCTACAATCTTTGTTGTTTCCTCCATGTGAAACCCATTTACTTGTTCTTGGAGCATCACCAACTGCCCCTTCATCTGGTCTGCATCGACACGCTTCTTTGCCTGCATTTCTAATATCATCTTCTTTGCAATCTCAACCTGCTTTTCAGCCAACTTGTTCTGTTTGATTTCTTCATAAAGCTTCTTTCTCTCAGCCTGTAACGCAATTATGGTGGCGGTGAGCATGTCAATCTCTGCCGTCTTGGCCTTCAAATGCTTCTGCAGCTCAGCCATGTGCAATTGATGTTCTTTCAAACCATTTAGTTCAACCAATTTCACTTCGAGACTCACTCTCCTCTGCTCCATTTCGCTTTTCACTTTCTTCGACATCTCTATTTCGCTAACATTGTTCCTCTTCTTTTTATGTATTGGAAACTCGAATTCTATGTAGTCATCGTTTTCGTGTTCATTTGGTTTCAAATCAGATTTGATTATTTTAACCTCTTCTTTCTCCTTTGGCTCAACCTGCAATTTCTTCTTCTTCTTAGAGCCTTCAAACTCGTCTCTCTCTTCTTCTTCTTCTTCTTCTTCTTCAATTTCTTCTTGTAGGAAGGCAGAGTCATTCTCTGAGTCCACAGAAACCAAAGCAAAGTAAGCAAAGACTGGCAAAACTGGAATATGAAAAAGAAATCAAATTCTAACACAAACATAATTCTAACTAAGTTAAAGTAGTACAAAAAGCAAGGATGAAAATTTACTAGTGTAGTACTTTTGATTGATGAGTTTGGCTTTCTTGATCGATCAACGTTAATCCGAGCAACTGCAAAAGCTGCAACTGAAGCTAAAACTAGAAAGCTGACCCTGAATGCTACCATGTAGTAAGCAATTTCAGTAGATAGAAAAGCTTGAAGCTCAACATAGACATGGCCACTTAAAGCTTTGGAAGTCTTTGTTATTTCACCATCACAAATATTCATTCTTATCAAGTCCATGAAATTCTGAGATATTTCATAGTCAAAAAATCTCATCAACAAGTAGTGGTTGATCTTTGTTCGGCTACATGACAATGATAGAAATCAATTTCACTGGAAGAACATTACCTGTGAACCAAAATAATACTGTTGCACCAGAATATCTTAGCAGAACCTTAACCCGACTCAAATAGTTGACCTATGTTTTTTTTTTTTTAAAAAAAAAATTAGGCTCCACACCTTGATTGAATGGTTAAAAATTCAGTCTGTGTAGGTTCATTAAGTAGTGAGTCGAGCTCAATTATAAATTATGAGTTTAATTAATTAAATTAGCTTAGCTTGAGTGATGTTACACTGTAGTTGAATTAATTCCTAAAGCTAATTAATATTTTTTGAAAAAAATCATATTACCGATTAGTTAGAAGAATAACAAAATAATACAATATCAAAAAATTAAAATGATATTTTTTTTATGGGTTATTGAAATTAGTTTACTTGCAAATACACCAAAGTCAAGTTTAAATTACACCAGACTGGAGCCGAAAAAAGAAATGGTATTTAAAAAAAAAAAAATGACAATTTGTACATCTCACGAATTATTAGGTTTAAAGTACTTCATAAATTTTCTTATTTTTGTTTGTAGTTATTATTTATATATTCAACTATTTATGAATTTAAACTTGATTAATAAGCATCTGTAAAACAATCTATAAAACATGAATCATATTCTAAATGTTCATGTGACATATTGCAGAGCTAAGTTTATCTCCCTTTTAAATTAGGATTCTCTCCGTTCTGATATGTACATCAATGCACAATCTTCACCTTCTGCATACAACAAAGAGAATCAGAAGGGGATAATGAAATCACCATTTTCCTCTCCAGAGAAGAAGATAAAGTACAATAAATTACATGTATCATAGAGTCAGAAAATTATCTGTATCACATAGGACATCTTTCCCATGCCTTCCAATGGTTGTCAAAAGTTGCAGTTTCTTCTTATATGCCCTCCAATGGCGTTTCTCTGTCATCATTTTGGTTTCTTGTCAAGACCTACGGCACCATTGTCTGCTGCCGCAGCAGCTGCCAATTCCATCAGTCTCTCATAATCAATCTCAGTCGACTTGTACTTCACCTTCATCCCACCTTCAGTCCATGACTTTATACAAAAGAGAGCTTGTGTGCTCTGATGGGGCATGGAGAACCGTTGCTTCTCAATCTCATCGCCTTTGCTGCAAAAGATCTCTTCGGGTGCCACTGAAGTTGCCTGTACAGCTAAGAAATCCCGAGCCATAACAGATAGCCGTGGATAGCGTGAGCTGTTCACCTTCCACCATTCGAAAACATCCGTCGGAATTGGGGCTGGGGCTTCTGATAAATACTGGGTAAGCTCATCAGTAGCGGAATTTATGCTTGCCCGACGTTTCTTACGAGCAATTTCCTCTGCAAAAGAAACACTTCCTCCATCTTCCAATTCTTGAGCACCATAGCCACTGGTCATAGACTGGAAATGGCTGGTAGAATAATTTCTCATGAAATGTGTTCTTGCTTCCTCTAAATAGTTATCCAAGTTGAGACTCTCAGGAATGAGTTCAACTTTTATCCGGGGATCAAGAATTGCAGTCATATATGTGAATACGTTGCAAACCTGTTCATTATAATTTCGAGCCTTTGCGGCCATATTTTCAGCATCTTTCTTGAGCCAATCTGGGCTCTGCCGGGAGTCTCTGTAAGTAGCAATCATATCAGAAATGTGATCCATGAAGAAGAGAACAAGCCCAATGGTCGGCACTTTGTTTGTGCAAATGTTGTTCGTGGTTTTATAGAAGGGTTCAAAAAAATTATGCATTATATTGACGCAATTCTTCTCTACAGAGCCTAATAGCATCCTATTCCCTATCACCTCCTCGTACTTCCTGATCACAGTCTCCATGGATTTTGGAGCCTGCATGGTTTAAAAAAAAAAAAAAAAAAAAAAACTATTTAGTTTAGTTCAAAAGGGAAATCTCATAAGAAATTCAACCCAGACAGAAGTAAATATTATCAACGCATCCTCACACACACACAATCAAAGTTGCACATTTATTACCCCACAAGAAACTATGCACAACAGAAATTCAATAACTATCTCCCCACTGAAATGAGATGAGCCATGAGCCTGAGGGACAAATGGGAACTGCTAATGACTAAAATCTAATAAGCTCCGACTCTTGAACGACCATCCTGTAAAAAACTTTAAATAACAATTCCATTGCAATCAAACTGAATGTTTAACTAATTGAAGCGAAAAACTCAACTGTTACAATGGGAGATAACAAAATACCAGCCAGTTGATTCTGATGACATTCAACTAATAATGATGACTACCTGATTCTTTGTCTTCCAAGAAAATTAGATCATTAAAACGGAGTTTAGAACTTAACTCCTTTCTTTTTCCATTTCACTTCTAATGTTTGTGATTAATGGAAGTTGGAAGGTGGTCAGATGATACCTCATCATATGATTGTACAAGGAAGGGCAGGTTATAGAAAAGAAAGAAGAAAGAAGAAAAAAGAATGATAAATTTTTTTTAAAAAAAAAAATTTATTGATTGGATCAGGAATCCAATTTTGGATTCGGAATGGATAAAAGATCTTCCTATGTTATACTATTCAATTCTTGACAACGAATTGATTTGATAGCTTAGATATTGTTTATTCGTGATATTGACCCGATTCATTATGATCGGGAGGTAATGCATCCATTGAATTTACGGGCCAAAGATTTTTCATCTCTATGGGATTAAATCCCGAGTTATTGCGAAGTAAAAAAAAACGATGAGATTTATTAATTATACATTAAAAAGAAAACAAAAATCAATTTGAGGTCAATTTTTCGTTTTCTTTTAGGTTTCTTATAAAAATCAAATTTGATATGATCTATTGTAACTTGGTAAGTAGTTTAAAATGTGGCATTGAACTACATCTATCAAGGAGAAGGATGCAAAAAAAAATTATGGCCAATGAAAACAGAGGAGTACATACAAATTTAACTCTACTCAACAAAAACAATGTTTTGAAATTTAATTAAAATTAATCCTTTCAACCAAAATTTAGGGGTCATTGGTAGAAGCTTAAGCTCTCAGAACAAGGGTTCAAGTCCTGAGCAAATAATGCCAAGGTAAGGGTTGTATCCAAACTGCCCTCCCAGCACCCCCAATTGAGGGGGACCACGCTGGTTAATGACCCTATGACCCTTTCAACCACCCTCTACCCACCAGATCTCACTTTTGTATCAAACAATTATTTAAAAAATTTAAGCTTTTATTATTTTGTTTAATGGAAAAAGCCAAAAACTGAAACCACCTATATATCAAAATAAGGTCTAAATTTGACTTTCAAAGCTTGTTGGATGATTACACTTTCTTTTTTTTTATATCTAGAATAATAAGCAACATAAATACACAAAATTAAGGAACTGGATTTGTGAAAATCAAGGAAAAATTAACAAAACAGTCTATTAGTCATGAACTTGCAAGGGACAAAGGGCAAGTACCTTACGCGCAACATCAAGCATCTGGTAAGTGCCACTCCACCGAGCTGAAGCATCAAGAGGAAATTTCCAACTACCTTCTTGATAAGCTGTTGAAAATTGAATAAAAGCCTCTGAGATTTCCAAGGACGAATTCATCTCCAGCACAAACTCCCTAATCTTAGAGATCACTGGTTTTGTAGCTCCTAATCCATCATTGATGATCGAGTTTAAAGTACGGGCAGCACAGGGAACATAGCAGAACGGCCCCACTTTTTGACTATCAATATCCTCTTTCAATGAATGGCAGGCATGTACGGCATTTGGACTGTTATCATGAGTGCAGGAGAGGACTCTGCTCTCAATATTGTACAACTTGAGGACTTTAAGTAGAGAATAATAGATCTCAGGACCCCCACAAGGGCTAGGTATGTGACAAATATCTAGAAGAACCCTCTGGAAGGACCAGTTTTCATCAATCCACTGGCATGTGATGCTCATATATATTATCTGTTCATAGGAAGTCCAGAAATTGAGCGTAATTGAGACTTTCGAAGAAACCTGATCCAAAATTGTCCTTACGTCCTCCCTCATACTCCTGAAAACTTCAAGTAGTACTGCTCGGTACTTCTCCCCTGGCCAGAGTTGTACTGAAGGATTGAGGAATTTGAAGGAGTTCCCCAGCCACTTTCCCTCCAAGGTAGAAGGAGGGAGAGCCGCTAGAATGACCCACTTGATAATCAACCAGTTTAAATGGTCAAGATCGACCTGAGGTGTTTGAGCTTGAGAATTGCATTTCTTAACTACAGTGCTGGGTCGGGGAGCATGATTCGTGGCAGCGGCATCCCCTGATTTATCATATCCTGGATGGCGATTACTAAGGTGCCTCCCTAAATTGCCTACACCAGAAAAGAAAAATTAATTAATAAAAAATTAGAAGAGAAATGGAATACTTTTAGCCAATCTTGGTTTAAAACTAATCAACTTTTGGATACATCTCAAACTCATGTGAGCTTGAGCAACCTGATCACATCTTCTACAGAGGTCCCCCCAGTTCCTTTCTGGAAATAAAACCACAGACCCATAATTTGATTACAATGGATCCTGGATTTGAAATTTTATTACCCTACGTTTCTCAAGAGTTGGATCAATTCCATGGGAGAAATGGGGAAAATCGAAGTCATGAAATAGAAGGAAGTGCAGAGAAATTACCAGTAGCAGTTGCAATGGAGTAGTTCTGCCCACAAAACTTGCATCTCCGACTCTTCCCATCAGAAGCTGTTTCAAAAAACTTGAGATAAACTGATGTCATTGTCTTCTTTCTTGGTTTTGGTGTCGTAACAGCATTTCCCTTCTCTGAAGAACCCAATCCAGTATCTATTGGGTCAATACCAGTAATGAGTGTCATATCCATCACAGATTTGGGTTCCATATCTACTCCAAGTAAAAACAAAGAAAGTAGAATCAAAGATTCGTGCACAATACAGTGTAGTGCTAACATGAAAATCTAAATCTTCCAGGTGTAAAAAGCCCAATATGCAAAACGGGGGAAAGAAAAATAATAAGAAGCAAACTAGAGTATACTGTCTGCACATTCATCACCATCACCCTTGCCTTTACATCATACAGTTGGGAGATTCACTATTCAATATCTAATCAATTGCAAAGTCTTCGTCTTTTCTTCTCCTAACACCATTTGTGGAAATTATTTTGATACTCTTTAACAGTAACAGCAGTGCAATGAGTTAATCTTGTTTACATAAACTAGCATCCAAAAAGCAAGCAGCATCCCTACTTCCATAAAAGGTCATTTTATTTGGTTAAATCATATCAAAACGAGCTTGCACCTTGGAGGATTTATCAAATTATATGAGTTTATGGAAGAATATAGCTAATGGCCAATCACTATGAGAAAGGGATAAAGAAAAGAAAGAAGATAACCCGTATCAACCATACAAAACCATTTTAAGCTTTTCACACCCTTAAAATCAATAATTTCAGGGTCCATCAGCTTCTCCTACCTAGTATGAAGAACGAATTACCAAACCTACCATCCGTATAGAGTCCTCACCCATTTCTCTGAGCAGAACTAGTTGCAATCTCCATTTAGCACATCTCAACAAAAATAATATTAAAACAGACGAACCATGGCCAAATACTCAAAAGTTGAATTAAACCCGTTTCCTTTGTAATCGCCCTTCATAATTTATTATGATTTCACAAATTTTTACTAACATAGATAACTTATGACCTCTATCAATGTATAAAAGAAAACGAACAAAAAACATATATATGAAATTGAAAATATCAACAACGCATTATTCATACTAAATGCAAAAGTAATTTTATAACCTATATATAAAAGTGAAGAATAAATGGAAGAAATTTAAGGCTCATAAAGTATTATAATCTTAGGGAGAATAGAGAACTTATTTTTTCATAGGATTAGGGACTGCAAGATAAAAAAATGTATTAAGATAGATGAAATTAGGAAGTTTTTTAAAAACAAATAGCACTTCTATTATGGTTGTGATAGTGTGATGATGATGATGTTGTGTCTTGATTAACAAAATTGTTTAATAAGATAATAACAACTAAGAGAATATTTGATAAGTGGTGCAAAAGAATTTAAGTACCTATACATATAAAAAAGGGGAACATACAAAATTGTACTAATTACTGTGGAATTAAATTAGTGAATCATATTATGAAACTTTGTGAGTGTTTGAACAATGACTACAATGAGAAACTGAAATGCAAAAAAATAATTTTGGATTTATGCCCAGGAAGTCAAAGATGGAGGCAATTTACTTATATTGAGGAGGCTGATGGGATGCTATAGAGAGAAAGAAAGATCTTCGTATGACTTTTAATAATTTAGAAAAATACCTAAATACAGTACTTGAACTTGGAGATCTAATATGGAGGGTTTTAGAAGAAAAGACTCTCAAAGGGATATATTTATGTAATAAAGAACATGTATGATGAAAGTATAACTATAGTTAGAACGAGTGAGGAGGAAACAAGTGAATTTTCAATTATTGTACACTTACATCAAGGGTCAATATTAAGCTCATATCTTTTTGCCTTAGTTATGGATGTTGATAAGACACATCCAGGATGAGATTCCATGGTGTATTTTATTTGCTGATATTATTTGATTGATGAACCTAGAAAAGGGATAAGTGCAAAATTAGAGGTTTGGAGATAAGCTCTAGAATTAAAAAGATCTAAAATTAGTGGGAATAAAATTGAATATATGGACTGTTACTTTAGTAAACCTAGAAATACAAATAGGAGATAGTGAAAATTGAGGGTCAAGAGATACCAAAAAATAAACATTTCACTATTTAGGATTAATTATTCACAATGGAGGAGAAACTCAAAACAATGATAATCACAAAATCAGGGCAGAATATGTTAAAATAGAGTGTGTCTGAATATTGTATGATCAGCAGATCCCTCTAAGATAGAAAGGAAATTCTATAAAACAATTATTAAACCAAATCTTCTTTATGGGACAAAATGTTGGGTAGCTAAGAAACAACATATGCGTAAACTGAGCATGGTGAAAATGAATGTTGAGATGGATGTGCAACAGGATATAAAATGATAGAACTAGAAATGAACATATTCATGAGATGGTAGAACTATTACCTATTGGAGATAGAACGAGAAAAATCAATTAAGATGTTTTGGACATGTGAAAAAAGACCAGTAAGAGTGACATGATCCACAATGAGGGTAATGCTAGATATCATAAAATTGGCTTGACTAAGATTACGGCTTTAAAGCAGAACGGTGAGATAGATTTCATTTAGCTAACCATAAAGTTAGGGAATGGCTTTGTGAGTTGAGTTTCAAGACAGCTATACCAGGAAATGCAAAAAGACTAGAACCTTGCATTTGAGTAATAATTTTTGACATCAACCAAATGCCTATCATATCATAAAGTATGAAGTATGAAAACTGAACCTACCAAAAATAACACTTTAGTATGTCAGGAAATGCAAAAAAGAGTAATTCAAAGGGATCTTTACATTCTTCATATCTTGTTTTTAAAATACTTAATGATTCTTGTTATCAAGATCCTGTCCACATTTATTACACCACCACAAATGCACACAAACACATTCATAAATTAAAATTTGATTCAAGTAATCTCTTCCATCCTCCTAGCATTTTATTCCTCAACAATTTTAATGAAGTTCTTTAATACTTCTCGGAACAGTCATTATCTACCAATATAGTTTCTATGTTGTTAGTGAAGATGGGCAAACTAAGATTATTTCTCCAAGAATATCTTTGCTAGAAACTACAATAAATTGGCCCCTTCTCCCTCTCGCCAATGGTTTGCTATTACATTTTCAAAACCATCTTACCACTATAATTAAGGGTAGTAAATATCCCGAGGACCAAGGTCCTTAATGAAGCATGACCGTCAAGGTGAGCAACACAATATAGGCCCGTTTGGAATTGCTATTGGACAGACTAAAAGCACTAATTTGAAAATTCTCTATAAACTTTGTTTGTTAATAAATAAAAAATAAAAATAAAATTTTAAAAAATAGAAAAAGAGTACCTTTTACTGGTAGAAATTCTGGCTTAGTAGTGCTTTTAGCCAAAGCAGAAATTTGGAACACTTTTTGCAAGTACAGGTAAAAAAATATATCAAAAGAGGTTTTTTATGGAAAAATAATATTTATAAAAAGTACTTTACATACTGCATCACCAAACACTAATCGATCTTTTAGAAACAGCACTTTTTGAAGCTCTACAAAAATAAAGTGCTTATTAGAAACTACAGTACCGCAAAAGGGGCACATATTATCAAACCATGACAGCCTCAATTAAGTAAAGGTCAAGTATCAATCTTGAGGCTATCACAATTTAATTTTTCGACATAACTAATGCGGAAGCCGTATTAGGGGAGAAAATATTGAAAAAAAATAGAATAAAAATCAAGACATTCTGTTTGGGAGAAGATATTAGGTTCAAGTAGTAGCAATGGCAACACTAACTGGAATAGGCCACAAACTAGCAGATGTGATATCAGCATATCAGATTGAAATTACTAATATCCTTCAGGAAAAAGCTACATAAAACTACAACCAGTACAAGAATAACAATGAAGAGAGGTTTATCCTATGCAAAAGATTGGAGCTTCTTACAGTTAGAGCACTTTTTTATTATTATTACTATTTTTTTTGTGATAAATATTACAGTTGGAGCAAGTGAGCAACTAAGAATGACAACATAGGGAAAAAGTATCAAACAGAAGAATTTGAGGGCCAAAACATTCTCCTCAAATCTCTCCAAAAATTAAGTTGCTTCAAGTACGATCAATATATGCAAAATCTACGACCAAGCACTAAATCAAAAGAAGTATCGAGTCAAATGAATATTAAAAGGAATGAAGATACATGCATGCCAATACCTTTTAAGCTTTTAAATGCATTATTAACACTCCATTCCATTAGGTTCCCAGCTTTTCCGCTGACTGATCCTGTCTGATTAAAAGGATAATGAGATAAAAACACCTCATAACAACTAAAATTTCCAGCAAAACAAAAAGAACAAGAAAATTAGAATCTGTCTTCATATATTTAACCATTAAAAGTTTGTTTAAGATATAGACGGATCGATAACATTATATAAAATAACCCACTTAAACAATACAACAACATCAATTACCATATAAATATGGGATCCAAAGCTGATTATAGGAAATGAAGAACATTCAATACTAGAATTACTCAGAAGTTGTTAAGACATGAAATATTTGATTGAGTGAGAAACAAGCCAGTCTCTGTGGAGTAAAAATTTAGTATTGTCACTTAAAATATGGGATTCTTCTTCCTCTATGTTGCATTGCTATGTTCTATTTAGTATTTCTGGCGGAAACACTTTAATACATTCAAGCAATGACAGTAATCGCTCCCTTCTTTCGATAGGTCAATTTGGTGTTATTATATTATTTTGTAATGCCAATCAGAAGAACTATTAGAATTGATCATGAGATGTCCAATATATTTGCCAATAGGTGTGAAACATTCCAGATATCAAATTTACTAAAGGGCTTCAAATAAGCTTGTAGCATTTTCCAACTTGATAAGTTTATGGAGTGGGCATAAGCTCTCAGCACAAAAGGCAAGCCAAATATGAAACATATCAATTATTATTACAGAACCATTAGAGTTCTCTCCAGATTCACCTTCAAAAATGAGTAGCACCATCAAAGTCAACTCTTTACAATATCTTCATTCAACAAAAAACATTGCAATAACCATACAAATTGGCATGATTGAGCCAAATAACACCCGACAAATTCATGTGACCTACACATACAAACATGAACACATTATTGTAAGTGAGGACTAGAAATAGGTAATCTTAATTGACTCCCATGTCAAAATAGGTCAGTATATGGTCAAATGTAAGAGAATTCATGAGCACAATTGAATATATGTGAATCCAGGCAGTTTATGTAAGATGTACATTCATAATTTTAGCTCATTTCTGAGCGTGTGGTGGAGTTTCAAACCCACCATTTAATTAGATGTTTCACGCATCTCCAAAGTCAATTTGATTGAAAAATGAACAGCTATACAAGCAACAAGCACGCATTTGATCAACCAAAAAATCGATATATAACTCTAATTGATATGTAAGAGACAGACAGAAATTAAGAAACTTGATATTTAGCACACATAATTAACATGTTAGGGATATCTAACAAAACGATAAGCCTAAAAAAGATGGTTTTGGAGAAAATTATTGAGTATGCGAAATCAAAATAATAAACTTCACATCAAGTTTAAATCGATCCCGTCTCATACCAATTCTTACAACTTGATGCATAAGGTGTTGAAGGTTATGAAAGCAATTTAGAGTAGCACCGTGAGTGCATTAATTTTTTTTGAAATCGCTAATTTTTAAGAACTTATATCTGCATAAAGGCCTTGTGTAAAAAAATGGCAGAGCTTCTCTTTGGTTTGAGCATAGCCTGCTTTGTCCATCAAAACAACAGTTCATCAAATCTATAAGTAAATACGAGTATTAAGTCCATTTACAGCAGCACAACAAAAACATTCTAATTCTTGGATTGCAATATAAATTTTCAAGTGGCTTTCTTCACTGAACTTGTGACAAACATCCATACAGTTGTTAACATTTTGCTCAGATCACTTGATTAAAAAAAGGGCACTGAGCTATCATTTGAACAGGCACTCAGTATGACACATATATATATGTATCTATAGAGAGAGTGGTTGAAAGAGAAATTGTGAATTTACCCCAAAATTCATGAGAAGTGAGAGTTGGAGAGACTGACACCAGAACAGATCGTCCTCCGTTGAAGTCTCAGTCCCTTACACAAACAATCTGTGAAAATTGAAACAAAGAAAATGATAATTAGAGCTGAATTTAATATCAGAATGTGAATTTTAGTTTCTTTGCATAACGGAGATTATCACTCACCATGAGAACATTCGAACTCCTCCGTCTCTGAAGAAGCTCTGTCTTCCAAAGACGTCACTGAACAAAGGAGGAAAGAGAGTTGAGAGAGAAAGAGGGAGATCGAAGCGGGAGAGAGGTTGGAGACGCCGGATCGGAGCCGGATCTGAGCCGAGCGAAGAGAGAGAAAATCGAGGAGCGAGAAAGATGGAGGGACGCTGTCTTAGCAGAGCCGCGACGCCTCTAGATCGATTTATGTGTTTTTTTCTCTCTCTAGACTCCGTGTGAGTGACGCCTGTTCTGTTCGACGGCTTAAACAACGCCTTGGCATATTGTCTGTCACGCCGGTATATTATCTATAGAAAGAGAGAGAGAGAGAGAGAGAGAGAGAGAAGTGGTCTGGCTCGGCTAGTGAGTGTGTGTAACAACTCGAGCGGGTGGCTCGGGACGAGTTTAGCGGACTCAGCCCTCCGGTGCGAAAGACTCAGCCGATTTTAAGAAGCTTTGTTTTGAATTCTCTTTCCCATGTCGAGCCCAATGGCCCGCCAGCTCAGTTTCAATTCGCTCGAACCATTTTGAAGTGTGTGGCTCTCAACTCTCTCAAGTCAAAGACTCAAAAAAACGTTCATAAACAAATTTTTTTAAAAAAATTTTCTTTATTTTTGTCAGTTTCTAATTCTTTCAAAATTCAGACTATTTCTTACGTATTAAACATATTTTTTTATAAATTAAATGTATTAAGCAAATCTAAGGATAAATTAAATATTGTTCTCGGAAGTCTTCTTAAAGAAATAAAATAAAACAGATATTTAACACTTTTAAAATAGCTTGTAAAAGTTAAATTAAAAGTATTGAAAAATTAATTACAAGTTTGAAGTTGTGACTCAAATTTTTTTTTTCCGCTTGAGTTGCAACTAGGGTCTATGAAAAAAAAATATATATATTGACCCATTTTGTCTTGCAGATTGTGGATTAAATCGTATTAGAATCGATAATTTTAATCTGTATCAATTTATCCTCAAATTTAAACCGATATTCTTATATTAGAGAATCCAAAGTTCCTTGGACCAAACCGATAATGGTTTATTTGTTTTATGATTAAGTGTAAAAAAAAAACCCCTGATATATAGGGTTAATGCATAAATAATCCCTACTTTTTGAAAATGTGCATTTCAGTTCATAAAATTCAAAAAATGTGGAAATAAACCCCTCTAACCACTTTTTTGTCAAAATTGACATAAAATAAATTCAAAACCCAATTTTGCCCTTGGGTTAAGTGCAAAAAAAACCCCTCTACTATCGACTTAGTGCAAAAGTGGTATAAAATCCCTATATACTATTACTTGGGTGCAATTACCCCCCTGTTCATGCTAAAACCCCCTATAATAATATAAATGAAATAATATTAAAAAAATTCATGCTAAACAAATATATAATATAACCACTACTAATTTTCATCTAAACAGACCGAGCCAAAAAATTTAAAATATTCGATTAATTTAAGACCATTAACTTTTATTTTTGAATTTTTTTTTTTCACATAAATTTTATACTAATAGTTACAAAATTCAATATTATCCAATTAAGATCATTAACCTTAAAATAAATATATTTAAGATATTCAATAAATAATGACAAAATTGTAAAAAATTAATTACTAATGAATTCTAAACTAAATTATAGTAAAATGGATTTTTTTCTTTTGTTGTAAAGTTAAACTAACGAAATTACTATAATTTCAAAATTGCATGCATTTGCTTACTTTACGTTTTCAATGGACCCAAAAGGGTATTGTGGGTCTTACTTTCTTCAATTCGAGGGCAGTGAAACTAGTGTCTGTTCTAATATGGATTCTTTTTAGAGGAAATTATGGTATTGTATATATATGTATATATATATATATTGTGTATGTGTGTATATATATATAGTATATGTTTTTCCAAATGAGGATAAAATTTGTCTTTTTTAGGGGCTTATTTACACATTTTTTTGAATTTTATAGACTGAAATACACATTTTTAAAAAGTAGGGACTATTTCTGCACAAACTCTATATATCAGGAATTTTTTTTTGAAATTGATAATATATGAGAGTTTTATACCAACAGGAACTATTTTACACTATATTAATAGTAGAGGGGTTTTTTTTTGCACTTAACCCATTTGTTTATTGGTGCCTATATGCGTGACACTACGTTTTCAGATTATCCAACTGAACACAATTTGCACAGTAACAATGCAATGACCAGATATATAGATCACTTTTCAAATCAGAAATTTGATTTTACTCCGTATAACCAGCTAAATACATGAGATCAATGTGTAAGTGTGTTGTGTGAGAAAGACCAATTCAAAGCTAAAGCCTAATGCCACATCCAATCCAGGCTCCAAAGATCATTGTATCATAAGTTGACCCAACTCCTATCATTTGATGTCAACCCAATTAAGCATATACATTCATTCTTTCAAGAACCATCTTTTCTACTTGGCCTTGATCTCCATATAATTGCTCTAGGGTTTGGACAGATTCTGTATGGGATTTTTGGTGGAGGAGTGTCAGGGAAACTGCAAAATGTTCATGAAATTGGACAGTTAGAAAGATATAATCATTCGAAACTCGGATCTAAAATATTTTGCACACACACACACACACACACACACCACGTATATATATGACTTCAATGTGATAACTTATAAACCCATTTGTCTCTAAGTGGGCTCGAAATAAATAGGGTCAATTCACTATTACTCTTCATTCTCAATTCCGGAAGGAAAGATAAAAAGGCACTTAAAATATACAGTATATTATAGGAATGTAGAAATTAATTGCATTTGAGGAATTTCTTCTACTCTAAAACCTATCTATATTTTATAAATATAGATATATAGGTTTATAGGTAAATGGGGTGACCTTTCAAACTATTTCCCATGTGAAATGAACTAGTGAGACCAAAAGTGGATGAAAAAATCAAAACAATCTCACCTTAAATTGGCAATTTCAATCTGAGAGAAGTCCATGTTGGTTGAACCGTCTACTACTACTACATTGGTCCTTGCTGTCAATGGTGTTGGTTGTTTTATGGCAAGAACTTTGCAATTGAAGTTGTCTGCAATGTTGTTGTGGGCCATGGCCAACCTATCCACAAGAAAGAAAAAAACCACCGAGTTTATATTATTGCTTTCACAGAATAAAAGTTCAATGGGAACAATGCATTAATGACTGTACACATCAGATAAATGATCTCTGGGCTGCGAATAGGACCAGACTGTCCAGGACTGGAATTAGGGTCCCTATTATTCACTATCATCATCTTATTATGCCGACTTAAGGGCCCCATCCATGAAATGTGGCCCAATCCATTACCAGAAAGGGACCCACGATTTTGAAAATAATTTTCAGTCTTACTTCTCAAACCTAGACAAATGTGATCCACGGTTAAGCTTATTCACCATATCAAATGCACATAAACTTCATCAACTAAACAGATAGGTGGTTAGTGTAATCGGTCTCAATAGCATTAATCTGTAGAATTAATTTGTTTGTTGGAAAAAGTGAATTGGACATTTTAAGCAGCGGTTATTGCCTCATAAAACCAAAACGGAAAGCTGGAGATTGAAAGCTAAGGTGTGAGTATCATTTTTCAAAGGGAATAAGGAAAAAAGAATATATGATCCAATAAGACTACAGAACAACTTAATTGTTCAATAACTCGAGTGTTAGAGAAGTCAAGCTTGAATAATGGTAATTTTTGTCTTTAGTCCACCAAGAAATTATTAATGTTTTTTAATGATTTGAAATGTTTCAAACTCATTTCATAAAAAGAATATGTTTCATGAGCCAACATCACCCGGTTAGGACCACACCTAAACCAAACTCGAGTCCAAAAATACTTTTTGGAGCATAGAGTCGTCTTGAACTAACTCACTGGATTTATTTATAATCCTACGAACAAGTAATAAAGCGAGCCTTTCAATTATATACATAAGAAAACGATGCGATACATAAAAGTGAGCCATTCAATCAGATTGTATAAAATCAATGACACAGGGCGGAAAGCATCTGAAAATTGAAGTGGCTGCTGGGATCACTCGTAACCGGAGAAATTATTATATAATTCCGGAGAATTACATTGTCTTCAAGTTAACACGAAATCAAAAAATTTAAATAAAATTAAATTTATTTGGTTGCATATCGACTAGAGTCAAGAGTTGCCATAAAAGGAAAACTAACCAAGTGCGTGACCACATTTCCAATGGAAATTTGGATCCTGTTATTGATATTTTGGATTAAAGAAGAGACGGACCACCACAAAAAAGAAGTACTATAATTATTATAATCGTAAGCCATGATGTCCATAGTCACCAGATGATGTGCAATCATGCAATTATCCAAACACGTCCCATCTCTTAACTGAAGCCTAAAATTTATTTATTCAAAACTCTATTCACGAAAAATAACTCCAAGTGATTTGGAACTCAATCAAACCCAAGACATCTTGGTTAATTGGTCCTTATCTCAGATTAAATCAATTACACAATTGAATTTAGTAATTTACTATGGTGTTTGATGACCTACCCATTTAAATATTCCTAACCAAATTAAACTAGAATTGGCTTTAAACAATCCGAAGATATAACCAGTGGTACATGATCACCTCTCATGAACACATCTATCAAATTAATTCAAATTTTCGAAAGGGCAACTTTTTCAAACACATAGACACATTCGAACTCATATATAAATGTGAACTATTCTTCATTGAAGCATATATAGCTTCATTAATTGATTCAAATTAAGTAGCCTGAAATCTCTACTCATCAATCAATTTTTCAATTATTTGATTCGGTTAAAAATGAAATTTCAAATTTGTGAATGAGAATGATTGAACTTACTTGTAGAGAAAGCTCTGATCATGAAGTCCGACGACGAGAGTGGAAGCGCCGATCTCTCTAACAGTCGCAGTAATCTTGCCTCCGTCTTGATCGCCTTCCGTGACAATAATATCGATCATCGTCTGAAACAGAACCCCAACGATCACATCATATACACATCGATACATATATATATATATACACACACATTTATGTGTGTGTGTGTGTGAGAGAGAGAGAGAGAATTTGATGATGACGATGGAGAGTGGTTACGTTTGGGAAATCGGTAGTGCATATGTCCTTGAAAGAGAGGGCCAAGTGGAAGCCTCTGAGACGGAGGAGTCTGAGCTTGTTCTTGTTTCTTGATCTTGTGGAAGGGAAGACGTGAAGAAGAGTTATCAAGTCGCCATAGCGAAGGAGGTTGTGAAGAGCCCACTGGAGTGCGGTTCTTGCCGCGTCCACGTCTTCCACAATCACCACTATTTTTCTTGCATCCATTTCCCCCCTTTTCGATCTCTCTCTCTCTCTCTCTCTAGACTTCACATGAGTTGATAGTCTGTGACACAATCTCTCTCTAGCCTTTCTATATTATATTAGTTGGATTTTCTTCAAACTTTTCTCTCTCTCTCTCCTGACCTCTCTCTCTCTCTCTCCTGATCTCTCTCTCCTGGAATTTAGTGAATTCTGTGTCTCTATTGCTATTGTGAATTATTCAGGTTCACACTCCATTCTAGTGCTATAAATAGTTCACGAACGGATCAAGCTCTAATCAACTAGATCTCTGTCCTGTGTAGGGATATTGAATTATGTGGGACTGATTATGAATGGAGTTGTTCAATCAACATCTAATTTAATCATACCCATTTGATAATTAAATTAAATTTTAGACTAATTTATTTATTATTAAATAAATCAAGTTTGATCAGCTTGATCAACACATCTTGACAGAAAATTTTAGGACTCATCACAAAAAATACCTTAATTAATAGTAATAAGTAATAACTTGTGAACCTCATAACAGTAACGAATTTGAATTTGAACTTGGCTTGTAAATTCAAAGAAGGGGTGAATTTAATCTCAAACTTAACAAATAGCTATTGAAATATATATTATACATATATATTATATTCATTTTCTTTCTTTATTTACTCCTTGATTTATTCCTCTTTTTTTTTCCTCATATATTTTATACTTATATATTATATTTGGTTTCATTTCTTTCCTCTTCTATTTATTTCTTGATTCTTTTCTTTTGTTGTATCATGTAAATTTATGGTAATAAATAACTTTAAAAAATAATTATGACAATAAATACATACTTATAATATCAATTTATATATGTAGTATAATAATTTATATGGTAAAAATAATTTGTTTATATTTCTTTCCTTCAAAAAAAAAATATATATATATTTAAACAAAAAACTGTTTATTTTATTATTATATTATATTAGTGCATGTACGATAGTTTGTTTATTTTATTATTATATAATATTAGTGCATACATGATAGTTAAGCTCAGTTCAAACCATCAAAATTTTAATTTATAGAATCAATTATCAAATTTTTAACTCAGCCTAGTTCAAACAACAGTGATTAGAGTATTTTAATTTATAATTTTGCATCTCAAAATGTAAGATGGTTACATTTACTTTAATATAAAGTTGAATTTTGATTTTTTTTGACTAAGTTGTATTGAATATTTTTAAATTTTTTTGATATAAATTAGATTTTACTCTTTATAAAGCACCAAACCCAATTTCTTTTTTATTATATATTTTTAACCTTAATATATTTTATGTATTTATTTTAATGTAAATTTTACACACATAAATTTTTTTGCTTGTGTTATGAGAATCTAGGGCCGGCCTGTTCATTGTAATCAGTCATGCACTCATGCATATTGTTAAACTGTTATGGGTTTCATCGGATGATGATGTACTCTGACACGTGTACGGTGATGCTGATTGTGAGTAGATTAAGTGGAGGAGATTGGTGGATGTTGTGTCACCACAATTATTTAACTCCGGCTGTGACGAGAGAAAAGCGGCGATGTCGTTACACTGTGGTTTTGCGTTTTGGTGCTTTTTGTTTGTCGTTTTGAACTTTTGGAGGGAGTGGGACCTAGTAAAGCGTTTATTTAATGGGAATATTCTAGATTAGGTAATTATATGATGTATTTTCCCACACATTATTAATCAGTCTACTGTTTTTCAAGTCCTAAACTGAAAATCACTAACCCTTTGTCTTTGACTTCCAGTGTCTGCATTCTTTTTCCATGGATTTGATAGATAATGTCAAGAGTTTGAACCAAGGGAAGATTTGAAATTTTCATAACATTACTTAATTTAATTTCACACCGTTTCTATTTGAGTTTTTAATTATTTATTTCACCCCGAACATAATAATTGAGTTTTTAACCATTCTCTTCAACTTTTAAAGTGAAAAAAAAAAAAAATGAAAGCTCAAATTTTATAATGGCAAAAGAAGTGTCTGTGTGTATTTGTCATAAATCATAATTAAAAATTAAAAAAATCAAATCAAATATATATATATAAATTCTATAAATATTGTAATTACAATAATGACAGTTGGAGGTATATATATATAACATGTAATGTACTCCCTCCGTCCCAATTTTAGTGTCATGTTTGAAGAATAGTAATTTTTAAGGAGATATGTGAGACATACATTATTTGTTTAGAAAGTTATTAAATTGTCCTTTTAAGTTTTGAATGTTTAAATTTGAAATTTAAAACTTAAAAGACATATATGAAAAGATGTGAAATATATTATTTAAAAAAATGTGAAATATATCGTTTTGGAGCTCTGCGCACCACAATGAAGTGACGTGCTTTTTAAGGCTTGGGACTATCCTCACGCTTTTTAAGGCTATAGAATTTCAAACATTTGTAACATTTTTTTTACAGAAGTCCTCGAACTGTTACTAGATCACGACACTAATTTAGTAAAAATTAATGTAAACCAGTGATACGTCGATGGCATCATAACGGTGGAGACTTTTTTTTTTTTCTTTCTTTCTATTATTATTATTATTATTTTAAGATATACCAAATTATTTAGGAGTCGTTGTTTAATGCATGAAAAACTCATGCGAACAAATTTCAGCACATATTTAGTAAAACTTAGATTCACTCGGAAAGAATACTCGTTTCAGTGAATGCATGTGCGCTAAAACGACACACATTTGATGCACACAGATTCTTACAAGGATATTGATCTTCTTTAGTCTTCTTTGTAAAATACCTTCCTAGGCAGACCCAACACTAGACAAAGATTTTTTTTGAAAGCAAAATCATATGGCACCTTCAATTATAATTAATTGGGGTTATCACAAAAATAAAATAAAATAAAATAAGTGAACAAGAATTGAGTTCTAATATCATGTGGTAACGGGAAGCAAATTAGTGGTTGATGAATAAGAGTCATTTGGTGCGTGTATTTGGGTTGCAACTCGTTAGGCTATGCCTTTTTAGGTTTTTGGGCTCTATTTCAATTCGACTTGTTTTACTTTTTACAGCCCTTTCTCAGCCCAGTCCATCAATGGACCTTTGTAAATTTATCCTTATCCGATGATTATGACTATTAGTTACTTAATCGATCTGTGACTACTAGTTACTTAATCGATCTATGATCTTCTTGCGCTCTTCTTTATAGCGATTTCATTTGATTCACAACCCCAATTTTAGTATTCATGTATCTATAGACACATATACCCACACGGGAAATAGAGAGCATACTTTTTCCATAGAATTAGCGACTGCAAGATAAAAATGATGTATTGAGAAAGATGAAATTAGAAATTTTTTAAAAACAAATAGCACTTCTATTATGGTTGCAGTAGTGTGAGGATGATATTGTGTCTTAATTAACAAAATTGTTTAATAAGATAATAACAAGAGAATGTTTGATAAGTGGTGCAAGAGAATTTTAGTAACTATATGTGTATAAAAAGTAACATACAAAATTGTACTAATAATCATGGAATTAAATTATTGAATCATATTATATATATATATATATATTTAGTGAATCATATCACTATGTACTACTCAAGTCACACAATCTTTTTCAACATGTGTCTTTTCAACAGGTGTCGCTCTTGCGCTCCGCGCGTATTTTCGCTCAAATTCTCCCTATTTATGATTTAATTTTGTCACTCTCACACTCATGCTCCTGCTCTCGAATTCACTTTCGTTCCTGCCCCCACTTTATGTAACTTAGTGTATCACCATTTATTTAATTAATTAGTAATACTTTATCATCAATATTACAAGATTATTAAAGTTTTAATAGTTGGTATAACAAAAATTTTATCAAAGTGGGATGTGGTGTGATAATTTAGGGTATGTGTTGTTTGTGGTCAAAGGTCCAAATTTGAATTCCCATTTTATCCGTAAGTTGCTTGAACTTTCAAAAAAAAAAAAAATCATCAAACTGTCAATTGGATTCAAGTAGCAATTGGAACACTGGACCAAGGTTCAAATAGCAATTGGAACTCACTACTTATCCAACATGGATAAACCGTAACACACAAGCATATATATCCCTATTGTAATAAATAAATAAGAAATGCTAGGGATAAACTTACTGAAATAGTGAAATCTAATTCATGATAAATAAATAAAAACACAAACAAAACTAGCACAGGGGCAGAAAAGCAGCAGCTGCCCCCGTTCAATCTTTTCATATATAGTAATTTTAAGTTTTTAACGCAATTAAACAATCTCCCACCCCTGGTATAAATCAAAAATGATTACTTGACATTCTTAGAAACCGATTAATAATTATTTAATTGTAAAATCAAACCGTTATGTTAAAGACCAAAATGGCAAGTATGGAAAGAGCAAAGATGATGTTGATGCAGAGTGGTAAAGATACTGTGACTGCAATGAGGACCCCAACATGCTCGAGCTCCAGCACGGAACTTTGTAGAGATGTGTTTGGCCTGAAAAAAACTTACGCCGGTTCCGATGGAATCGGGTGGGCGTGCCAGGAACTGCAGTAGTTCCAAAGAGAGATCCAAACAATATTCCAGAAGGAAGACTGCGGGACCAGGCGATTGTGTTGATGTCTGGAATGAACACCTCAGGGTTCTTTTTGCCTTTGATAAAGGACTTCGGGAAAGTTAATTGGCTAGGAGGAACTGAGAAAATAATTGGAAAGACTGTAAAATTATCTAATGAAAAGTAAAGTGCATGACTGAAACTAATCATATTGAAAGTGCATTGCAATGAAAAGTAAGGATAGTACTAAAATGCGTAGTTTGATTGGCGTTGAACAGACTTTCTAAGTTACAAGATATGCCTTATTTATCTAATTTAGTAATGGTAGCTTGCATGCAACCATTTGCTTCCTAAGCTTCCATGTGTCCCACTTTGCATGTAACCACTTATAACCGCTTGCTTCCTTGGTTGCCATGTGTCCCACTTTGCATGTAACCGCTTACTTCCTTGGCTGCCATGTGTCTCACTTTGTATGTAACCGCTTGCTTCTTTGGCTGCCATGTGTCGTAAGACTTTCCATTGGAATGTCGTAATAACTTTCCATTAGAATCAACCAGCTTCCTAGGCTGCCATGTGTCTTATGTTGCATGTAACCGCTTGTAACCGCCCATTTTCTAGGCTACCATGTGTCCCATGACTTTGCATGTAACCACTTGTAACCACTTGCTTCTTTGGCTACCATGTGTTGTAAGACTTTTCACTGAAATGTCGTAGTAACTTTCCATTAGAATCGACCAGCTTCCTAGGCTGCCATGTG